AATTGTAGCAAAAAGGGCCCGATTTGGGTCACGACTATGGTAAGGGGGTAAGGGAGGGAAGCGGTCGGGATGTCCAATTGAAAACGCGTTATTTTCGCTCACCTTTTTGCTTAAGAGCTTTCTTGTTTTGATTTGTTTTGTATTTTCCCCTTTGGTTTTACAGGGTTGAAAAATCACTACTGAAGGTAACTGGAGGTAACGCATTGACGTCGATCTTGGGCTCAGCGAACTTGAGTCGCAAAGTGGCACCAGTTAGCCAGCTGGGAGAGTTTTGGTTTTCACGGGGGGGGGGGGGGACGGTTCAAGGCCCAGTGTCGACCTCCAATTTTCAAACCACATTAACCAAGCGCCCACTGGAAACTACAAGTTTGTGTCTCGGGCTCGTGCTAAGCAACCTGGATGCTGCAGATTTGAACATTTCGAAGGCGCCATGAAGGTGGATGTTTACCTGCCCAGTGGAGATGGTTGCTCCATAGAAGTCACACCGGCGACGCCCATCAGCGAGCTGAAGGTTGCAGCGCAGCATCATTTCCAGCGCCCCTTGACGCTGATTGCGAAAGGCCAGAAGCTGGATTTGACGGCCACGCTAAGCGAGGCTGGGTTGCGAGATGGGGACGCAGTGGCTGCAGTTGTGCAGCTGGGCAAACTGGCTGCCACCGGAAAGGCGTTTGCTTGGCATAGCCACGGGGACGAGGTTGTGACCTGGGGTCATGCAGAATTCGGCGGAGACAGCAGCCAGGTGCAAGAGCAGCTGAGGAACATCCAGCACGTTCAAGCAACTTGCGGTGCCTTTGCTGCCATTCTTGAATCTGGGGCTGTTGTGACCTGGGGTCATTTAGGTGATGGCGGGGACAGCAGCCAGGTGCAAGAACTGCTGAGGAACGTGCAGCACATCCAAGCAACTTGCAGTGCTTTTGCTGCCATTCTTGAATCTGGGGCTGTTGTGACCTGGGGTGATTCAGGTGCTGGCGGAAACAGCAGCCAGGTGCAAGAGCAGCTGAGGAGTGTCCAGCACATCCAAGCAACTGATTATGGTGCTTTTGCTGCCATTCTTGAATCTGGGGTGGCTTTGACCTGGGGTCATCCACAAGTTGGCGGACTTAGCAGCCACGTGCAAGAGCAGCTGAGGAACGTCCGGCACATCCAAGCAACTTGCAGTGCTTTTGCTGCCATTCTTGAATCTGGGGCTGTTGTGACCTGGGGTGATCCTGAAAACGGCGGAGACAGCAGCCGGGTGCAAGAGCAGCTGAGAAACGTGCAGCATATCCAAGCAACAAAGTGTGCTTTTGCTGCCATTCTTGCATCTGGGGCGGTTGTGACCTGGGGTCGTGAGGACTGGGGCGGAGACAGCAGCCAAGTGCACGCGCAGCTGAGAAACGTGCAGCATATCCAACACACTGACCGTGCTTTCGCAGCCATTATTGAATATGGGTCCGTTGTGAGCTGGGGTGATCCAGAATACGGCGGAGACAGCAGCCAGGTGCAAGAGCAGCTGAGGAGTGTCCAGCACATCCAAGCAACTGCGGGTGCTTTTGCTGCCATTCTTGAATCTGGGGCTGTTGTGACCTGGGGTCATTCAAGTGATGGCGGGGACAGCAGCCAGGTGCAAGAACTGCTGAGGAACGTGCAGCACATCCAAGCAACTGACCGTGCTTTGGCTGCCATTCTTGAATCTGGGGCTGTTTTGACCTGGGGTGATCCAGAATATGGGGGAGACAGCAGCCAGGTGCAAGAGCAGCTGAGGAACGTCCAGCACATCCAAGCAACTGGCCGTGCCTTTGCTGCCATTCTTGAATCTGGGGCTGTTGTGACGTGGGGTGCTCCAGATGGTGGCGGAGACAGCAGCAAGGTGCAGAAACAGCTGAGCTCCAATATGGGCCATTCGTAACACGGGCCGTCCAAGACAAAAATGTGGGACTCAGAAGGCGCGCTGATAGCGAACAGCAGATGAACTTCACTGCACAGTTTGATGCGGCTTCCAAAGTGTCGTTCAACCCCTGGAAAACTGGGCATGTGTTCACTGCTCTTCTTTATTTTTTGTGTGGGGGGTGGGGTGTTCTGTTCATTTTTAGTTGGGGTGTTGTTACATGTCCACCAACTGTGCTCCAACTTCGAAGTATAGCTACCTGAACCCTCAAAATTCCCTTATGCATGGGTTGTAGCCCCAAAACTATGGTTGGTGAGTCCCATTCTTTCTAATTAGTTTCTTCGGGTCCAGGTAGCCCAGTGATCCTTTTTCAGAATGGTTCCTTTTTCCTTCCCACTCCAAATACCGATCGCTTTTTCTTGGTCCTTTTTTTTGAAAACCGAGCGGTTTTTCAAGGTGAATACCTTCTTGTTTAGTAGAGGGTCGACATGATACCGACTAAACAAAGGCCGGGTATGTGGAATCGGGGGTTACCGATCCTTTTACCGTTTCTTTGTTGCGAGAGGGTTCTCGCGCACATTGGTGTAACCTCGTCAGCTCACTTCCTGAGTTCATACAAGCTGGGTCCAGCGAAAGGGTGCCCTTCTCTCCCCTTTGGTTGGGAGATTCGGTTCTCCTAGACGGACAAGAGTTGGTACTATTCTAACCTCTCAGGACCTAGTCGCAAAAGGACTCGGGCCAGAATTCCAGAGAAAGCCTAACGTTTCTTTTTCCATGCCAAGGCCGGGTCTGTGGAATCGGGGGTTGCACTCCAAAACAAAACGGGTGCCGATCGATCCTCCCGGTCGGAAATCCGCTGGGGGCCCGGCCTCGGATCCGCGATCCGGATCCTCGCATCGCAGCACTCGGAGGAACTCGTCACGCGAAGGCCTCGTAACGTTTTGTTTTTGGGCTTTTATGCCAAGTTTTTTTTTATGCCAAGGGAAAAACCGCGGCACCAAACCGCGGCCGCACAGTGTTCACCACTGATGGCATGGCACTCACGAAATGACCATGATCTGGGAGAGTTTTGGTTTTCACTGGGGGGACGGTTCAAGGCCCAGTGTCGACCTCCAATTTTCAAACCACATTACCAAGCGCCCCCTGGAAACTACAAGTTTGTGTCTCGGGCTCGTGCTAAGCAACCTGAATGCTGCAGATTTGAACATTTCGAAGGTGCCATGAAGGTGGATGTTTACCTGCCCAGTGGAGATGGTTGCTCCATAGAAGTCACACCGACGATGCCTATCAGCGAGTTGAAGGTTGCAGCGCAGCATCATTTCCAGCGCCCCTTGAAGCTCACTGCGAAAGGCCAGCAGCTCGATTTGACGGCCACGCTGGATGACGCCGGCTTGCGAGATGGAGACGTGGTGGTGGCGGTTGTGCAGCTTGGCAAGCTGGCGGCCAATTACAATGGGTTCGCTTGGCATGGCTGCGGGGGCGAGGTTGTGACTTGGGGTCATCCACAATGCAGCGGACACAGCAGCCACGTCAAAGAGCAACTGAGAATCGTCCAGCACATCCAAAAAGCTAACCGCGCTTTTGCTGCCATTCTTGAATCTGGGGCTGTTGTGACCTGGGGTGAGCCAGATTATGGCGGAGACAGCAGGCAGGTTCAAGAACAGATGAGGAACGTCCAGAGCATCCAAGCAACTTACGGGGCTTTTGCTGCCATTCTTGAATCTGGGGCTGTTGTGGCCTGGGGTGATCCAGAATCCGGTGGAGACTGCCGCCAGGTGCAAGAGCAGCTGAGGAGTGTCCAGCACATCCAAGCAACTAGCTTGGCTTTTGCTGCCATTCTTGAATCTGGGGCTGTTGTGACCTGGGGTCATCCAGGCTGGGGCGGGGACAGCAGCCAGGTGAAAGAGCAGCTGAGGAACGTCCAGCACATCCAAGCAACTGAGTGTGCTTTCGCTACCATTCTTGAATCTGGGGCTGTTGTGACCTGGGGTGAACCTGAATACGGCGGAGACATCAGCCACGTGCAAGAGCAGCTAAAGAACGTGCAGCATATTCAAGCAACTGCTATGTCTTTTGCTGCCATTCTTGCATCTGGGGCTGTTGTGACCTGGGGTGCGGCAGACCAGGGTGGAGACAGCAGCCAAGTGCACGCGCGGCTGAGAGGCGTGCAGCATATCCAAGCAACCGAGGGTGCTTTCGCTGCCATTCTTGAATCTGGGGCTGTTGTGACCTGGGGTAATCCAGGAGCTGGCGGAGACAGCAGCCAGGTGCAAGACCAGCTGAGGAACGTCCAGCAAATCCAAGCAACAAAGTATGCCTTTGCTGCCATTCTTGAATCTGGGGCTGTTGTGACCTGGGGTCAGGCAGAATTCGGCGGAGACAGCAGCCAGGTGCAAGAGCAGCTGAGGAACGTCCAGCACATCCAAGCAACTTGCAGTGCCTTTGCTGCCATTCTTGAATCTGGGGCTGTTGTGACCTGGGGGGATCCAGGCGATGGCGGAGACAGCAGCCAGGTGCAGGAGCAGCTGAGGAACGTCCAGCACATCCAAGCAACTGGCCGTGCTTTGGCTGCCATTCTTGAATCTGGGGCTGTTGTGACGTGGGGTGATCAAGAATATGGCGGAGACAGCAGCCAGGTGCAGACACAGCTGAGCTCCAATATGGGCCTTTCGTAACAGGGGCCGTCCAAGACAAAAAATGTGGGACTCAAAAGGCGCGCTGATAGCGAACAGCAGCTCCACAGTTTGATGCGGCTTCCAAAGTGTTGTTCAAACCCTGGAAAACTGCAATGTTGTTGGCATGTGTTCACTGCTCTTCTTTTTTTTGGGTAGGGGGTGGGGTGTTCTGTTCATTTTTAGTTGGGGTGTTGTTACATGTCCACCAACCGTGCTCCAACTTCGAAGTATAGCTACCTGAACCCTCAAAATTCCCTTAAGCATGGATTGTAGCCCCAAAACTATGGTTGGTGAATCCCATTCTTTCTAGGTAGTGCCTTTTACCGGAGGGTTCCCCTACTAAAATCGACGGACAAAAGTTGGTACCCCTATTCTATCCTCTCTACAGGACCTAGTCGCAAAAGGACTCGGGCCAGATGAATTCCAGAGCACGCCTCGTATATGCCAAGGGAAACACCATGGCACGTGCGCGGCCGAACAGTTTTCACCGGCATGGCACTCACGAAATCACCATGATATGTTTGCGGCGGGGGGGGAGGGGGGGTAGCATAAATCCCCTGACTTGTGGAAGGCACGCTTTTTCCTTGAAAGATGATCTGCTTGAACCCTCCGAATTCCCTTAAACATGGGTCATGGCCCCAAATTATGGGGTGAACTCCCTTGTTTATAAGTAGCTTGAGGGTCCAAGTGCTCATTTTCAACAAGTGTGTGGAGCCCCAGATTTGAGGGGATGCCAAAAGTGTCAAGCGCCGGGTTTTCAGCTTGTTCCGTGCTTGAGGCTTTCCGACAACTCCACTTCACTGTTGGCATGTTTTTCGTTTCGGGCTTTTGGTGTCCGTTCATTGTTAAGTAGACTGCAAATGAAAGCCAGTTTGCTGCTACCATACCATTTGGGTTGTAAAGACAACTCACATATGTTGTTCGATTTCGCGTGGGTCGTTTGGTAGCTGTGGGGTTGTTTCACCAGGATATGGACCGCAGATTTTGGTCTTTGGTTCCATTTGCCAGGGTTGACATGTGAGCCATGAAAAAAAACGATCGGTGAAAAACGTGAGGAACCCAGAACCATGAAAGGAACTGAAATGGCGGATCCGCAGGTAAGACGGTTCCGCTACCCGTACCCTCTTGTCGGCTTGCTGGTGATGTCTTTGGGGCCATTACATGAGTCCAACAACGATGCCGAGTGCTGCGGGGTTCTTTTTGTGGCTTGAAACATTCAGGTTATTCTACCTACAAGTTGAGCATCTTGGTTGGGCTAAACCGGCTTCGGGGTCCCTTGAGTTTATTTTGACCCATACCCATACCCACATGAGCAACAATCAAAACCCGGGTAGATGAAGGTTAGTGAGGGGCATTCCCAGCCGGAAATAGTTGCGAAGATCCGCCTTTTCAGTTCCTTTCACTCTGGGTTCACCATTTTTGTACCGATCGGTTTTGATTGTGACTCAAATGGGGGTGTCTTTTCTTGAGCGTACCCCATGTTTAGTCTAGGTCCCCCAGCTAGGTGCCCTTTTAAAGCCTTTTTTTGGGGGGGAGGGTTCCCCTACTAAAATAGACAACACTCGTCAACCCTGGCCAAAAAAAAGAGCCAAAGACCAACAAATCTGCGTGTGTTGTTTGGTGGGCTTATTTCGACCCACACATGAGCCACAATCAAAGCCCGGGTAGATGAAGGTTAGCAAGGGACGATCCCAGCCAGAAATAGCTGCGGCATTCCGCCTTAGTTCTTTACGTGTTTCTGGGTCGACTATTCTACCGTGTTTTGATTACGGGAAAATCCGACTTTACCTTTCTAGGGGTTGATTCCTGGCCCATCCTTTTCAAGCCTCGTCCTTCTCCAAAAACCGACCGCGTACCGATCGCATGCCCTCCGAAATCGGAGGCCTTGGAGATCCTGGAGGTCTTGCGCGAGGAAGCGGACGCGGCGAAGCTGCTGGGGCGCCGAGGATACGAGCGGAGGGTCGGGCTTGGACTTGGTGGTGACTTGGTGGCATTTTGCCTTAAGGGATGTTACGGCTTGAGAACTGATTGAGCCAACTCATGTTTTTTTTTGTTTTTTTTCCCCCGCGTAGAAAAACCACAAGAAGTGGTCACTTTTAGCAGGGGAGCAGAAAGCAACCGAGGTGAGATGCGGCTGGGACGCAGAGAATGTTCCAAAGTGGCTAGGATGACTAGGTGGGGGGAGGGTAGGAGGGTAGGAGGGTAGGAGGGAGGGTGGGAGGGTAGGGGGAAGGGAAGGGGGAAGGGTAGGGGTAGGGGGGAGAGGGTGGGGGGGAGAAGGGGGGAGAGGGTAAGGGGGATGACTAGCCCAGAATGCTTTGATGCAATCATAAATTACCACCTGGACTTTAGAGGCCAACATCGTCCATTGGCACAGATGTTGGATAGCGTACTTGGCTTTGAACAGAACTTCAGTTTCGATATTCTACTTCCATACCCCCTACTCCAAATACATTGTTTGAAGGGTATCATATCATGTCGACCCTCTACTAAAAAAGGAGGTATTTACCATGAAAAACCCAGGTTTTCCCAAACAAATACCAACTAGAAAAAGTGGGTACTGTGGATGGGCAAAATCCATTTCGCACAAGTTTGAAACCATGGTTGAAAGCATTGCTCGCTATTTACAGGGAAATCAGAGCATTCTAGGGTTTCTGAACGGTGGCGAAATGGATGTCGCAACCATCCACAGTACTTGGGTGCATGTTTCTTGGCTGTTAGGACTTGAGAACTTTTTGCCAACTAATGGGGGAAACCCATGTGAACCACTAAAAGTTCGTCACTTTTAGGGCATCGCAGATTTCGCACCGAGTATTTGGAGAACCGATTTCGGCCCTGCGAAGTTGGAGTGGCGTTGGAAAGCGGACGGCAGGCGTTTTGTCAGGCGGGAGAATCGGCGTTCACTCCTGGAGTCTCCAACTACGGACCCGAAATAAAAATTGGGTTGCCCAACAGAATGGTTGGTCATGGGATCCCCAATTTAAAAATCGGGTCAGAGGGAGACTCCAGAGCTTGGAGTCTTTTTCTCGAGCTCTTGAAGGGCAACCCGAAGCTGACTTGTTAGTTTGCCCTGTGCATTTTTTGAAAATAGTGACCGGAATGTGAAACAATTTGTATAGCTTTTTTTTTGCGCTGTTGAAATGCGATCTATTGGCCCTTCCTACGAAAGTCCTGTTTGCCGGGGTTTCCTAATTTGCGATGTTGGACAACCACCCAACCTTGAGCACGCAGAACGAAATGTGATTGTCCATAATGTGAGACCTCCCACTAGTCCAACCAAGAAGAAGTCAACCTATTGCCTCTTGTTTGTTGATTGATCAACTCTTGCTTACTCACTTCCTGAGTTCCTGAACTTTACTGTTGTTGGAAAACCATTCGAGCGATAGCTGAGCAACATCCGACTTCTTTGCGCATATGTCCACGAAGTGAGATTATGTCCTTGGGAAACAGGCACAGGTTTCATGTGCTGTGAAACTTTGGGCCCTTGACCATGTCTGTCCTTTGCGGCTTTGGTACATCATGTTCTTGGCGGTTTTTTTCAGGGAATCGTCCGGTTCCAGAGAGCTTCTTTAGTTTCGTTACCCACCAAAAGGTTAAACGCAGATCTGAGGACAGCCCAGTTCTGGTTGAACTTGTTGGTTCAACCCCAAAGAGAAATGGCTTTTGTTTTCTTGTTTTCGTCCAGGATCACCGGCCGGGGATTCTCAAGATTGCGGACCCCCCTCATTTTGGCATGGAATTGAAGGTAATGCAAAAGGAATCCACGGATGTTTCAGCTCACTTCCCGAGTTTCTGAACTGTAAGTCACTTTTTGGGACCATGTTAGTGGCAAATCAAAAGTTGCGTTCTTGTTTTTTGCCAATCCACTCGATTTGTCTTTCTTTGGCCAATCCACTCGATGTTTTCTGTTTTGGGCCAATCCACTCGATTTTTCCTCCGCATCGGGGAGTAAGTGTGCCTCGGGTTTTTCGTGCCGGTGCCCACGAGGCCGGAGACGTGTTCGCCTGTGACCTGGGTCTATGCTCAACTGGCTGCGCTGCAGGATGGATCGTGCATGCAGGGGTTCATGAGACGTGGGTGGCGTGTGTGCGTCGGTGTGTGTGTGTGTGTGTCTGTGTGTGTGTGTGTGTCTGTGTGTCTGTGTGTCTGTCTGTGTGTGTGTTTGTGTATGTGTGTGTGTGTGTTTTCCTTTTTTTTTCCGTTTTGGTTGCGTGTAACGTGTGACGATTTATTATTTGTTTTTCCCGAGGGTCCTTTTCGGTTGGGTGGTTTTGCACGGAAACCAAAAGGGCCGAGTCCTAGACAGGCTCAGTGGATGGATCATGAGCTTAGTCACCTGTAGCAACAGTCAGGCGCGCCCTAAAAGGAAAACCATGGGCAAAGGGAAAGTTGTTTTGTTTTTCTTCGGGGGGGTCCCCTATTTGCACAACATATATAGATATACATGTATCCATATGAGTTTTCTTCCCGTGCACAATTTTAGGTAATCCGTCAGGTTGGTGGTAGCCGGGTGTCCCTTTGGATTATTTCAGCAGACCACGACCGGGCTTTTAAAGAAGCGCGAAGCAGGAGGCTCTGAAGGGACCTGCAAAAACCAAACAAAGCTTTAGACTTCCCAAGAATGAGTTCCCCTTTTTGATTGTTCCTGGAGTCTCCTTCTGACCCAATTGTAAAAAATGGGTCCATGGGTTATGACCAACCATTTTCAAAGGGTCATGGAGACTCCAGGTTGGTTGGGCTTTTTTGGTTGGTCCCCTTTGTTTTCCATATATATATATATATTACTGGGTCCTAGTTCCAGCCAAGTAGAGAAGAACTCACCGCCCAGAGGCTCCCCGATGATTTGGGACCCCAGTGTGCCAGAAAGCACTTTGTTGCATTTTGCCAAGGGATGTTAGGACTTTTGACTTTTTGCCAACTCATGGATTTTCCATTGAACCACTAAAAGTTAGTCACTTTTAGCAGGGGAGCAGAAAGCAACCGAGAACAGCCAGACTTGAGAGACACCAAAACCGCTCTGATGGGTGTCCAATGGTCTGGGCAATTTAACTCGGTGCCATTCGGGAGACGATGAATATTGGCCGTAGCTCATATGGGCGTTTGTGTTTGCTGAAACCTGGTGTTGGTTGGTTTAGGGAAATCAACAGAAGTGTTGCCATCTTTGGGGTCTCATGTTTGAGACACATCCCCAACTTCCAAAAACATGGTTTTGGAACAACGCATGTGGGGTATTTGCAAGACGGAAACCCCGCCAAAATGGCTTCGGTGTTGTCCTTTAAGCCTCAAAAAGGGTACGCTCCCTCGCCACATGTTTCTTTGTCTGTGAGTCAATTCCCTGAGGCAAAACACCACTTGGTGCTTGAGTTAGCTGAAGGTTGAAATCACGGCGGGGGGGGGGGGGGATGTTAGATGGGATACTTGAGTGCTTTGTGTGCGCGTGCCATGATGGGACCACAACAAACAAAGTAAAGCTGGAATTGGAATTAGATCCACTTGTCACACACATACACAACGGTCGCAGTGAAGCCTTTACAGGGTGCGATACACAAATTAGAAAGAATTCCGGCCTCCTAAGCAGTGTAAGGAGGGGAGGGGACATGCTCCCAATACAAAGACACAAAGGGGCAAGTCCCCATACATGTTCTGGGTGAAAGTAAGACGATGCCAAAAGCGGGCGGTGCCTCACATATAGATGTTTCTCAAATGGATTTCGAACCCCTTTTTCTTGGTGGTTCCAAGCCATCCCTCTAGCTTTTCTTTGTTTGTGTGTGTTTAGTGGTAGTTTCCCTTAACCCACTAAAAATTAAACATCTAGCGGGGGATTTGAGCCCAGTTTCGGTTGGTACTTGGGTGTTCGGCCTTCTCGCGAAAGTGGTTTCGGATCGCCACTTGGGGGTCTTCTCATTTTTGAGAAACAAGTTGCTAACCCCACATTCACGGAAGACTTATAACTGAGTTATAGCCTATACTTCCTGAGTTGGTGGACTTTAAACTTCTTGGAAAGACCATTTTAGTGGTAAATAAAAAGAGTTCAAGCTTTTTTTGGGCCAGTCAACTTGGGAAGTGAGACTTGAAGTTACCGTTACAACTTACCAAGTCAGCGAATTGAACACCCAAGCGGCTAAGATGACTTCAAAGGAATCCGCTGCCACTAGATTTGAGAGCCCCACGTCTAGCCCCTACTCCAAATACCCATAGACTTTTGTTAAAGTCGGCATTTTTTACGGAGAACGGAACGGTTTTTGAGGGTAAATACCAATCCCTTTGTTGGTGTAGAGGCTCGATCGACATCATACCCAACAAAAAACGGGTATTGGGTTCTAGAAAACGGTTTGGACGCGCTTTTTGTGGATTTCACCCGTCCTTCCCCCCGTAGGTTCTTTTTTTGTACTCTTTTACTGCTCTTTTAACATCCTACAGGGGTAGATCCACAAAAAACGCATCCAAGCCGTTCCCTAGATGGGTGTCAGGGGCACATCTGCAGTGATACGCGGAAGAGCGATTCCGCGCGCATGGCTCAAGGGAGTTCGTTTCCTCGATCCCTTCAATCGGCGCTCGGATCCCAGGGAGTCCAAAGGCCTGAGTTACGGAGTGTGTACGACCTTTTTACGGGCTTTTTACGGCCTTTTTACGGGGTGTCTACGGCCGTTGACAAAAGGCCTAAGTTACTCAGGCCGAGGAAGCACTGGGATGTGTTGTTTCGTGGCGGGTTTAAACATCACGGTTCGCTTGTTGACCCCAGATGAACGGCTTGAAATCCCTGTGTTGCCGCGGTGGTTTTTTTTTTTTTCGCAGGGCGTCAAATATGTAGCTATCTCCCAACCGCTGTCTCAACAACTCTGCTTGACTACACGTGACCTTTTCGGCCGATGGAACGCAAGTAAACAAATAGGCTTGGATCACGCGAATTTGGATGAGAAAGTGTAAGTGGCTAGACAACTAGGAATCTACTGCTGCAATCATACCTACCATTCTGATTACCCTCCTGTCCACATGGAACCAGTCTGGTCCCCATAGATCAGCCTCGACCCCCAAACTTCCCTCTTAAAGATTGGTTATGGCGCCCCAAATGTCTGGAGGTGAGTTTTCGTGTTTTTTCAAGTCTTTAAGGGCAGTGTTCAGGGTTCAGCCGGTGAGTCTTCGGTTTTTTCAAGGGAAGTGTTTGGGGCGTTCAGGTTCTAAGAGGGTGTAGGGTTTTTGCCGACGCGGTCACCGCCATGCCGCGAGCCCTGGAGTTGGAGGCCGCGATTCCTCCAATGAGTTTTCCGACTTTTTTTGGGTGGCTGCCAACCACTAAAATGGCCTTCCCCCAAAAAAAGAGGTTCCCTTTTTTTTCCAGGGTCACTGAACAACTGAGTACTGGCTTCGCATGGGCCTGGCACGGTTTTTGTTGAGGCTCGCTCCCTTTTTTGGCATCAAGGAGAGACCAACGGGATACCACCTTTTCTTTGGGGCTTGGGGGGGTTGGGGGTGGGGGGGAGAGTCCCCTAGTTCGACACATACCCCAGGGAGTCCAAAGGCCTGAGTTACGGAGGCCGTTTAAACACGGGTTGGTTTTTTACGGCCTTTTTACGGGGTGTTTACGTCCTTTTTACGGGGTGTTTGCGGCCGTTGACCAAAGGCCTAAGCTACTCAGGCCGAGGAAGCTCTGGGCTAGGTCCAGTAGTGCCCTTTTACCTTTTTTGGTTGGGACCCCTTCTAAAATCGACAGAAAAAAGTTGGTATTCTCATTCTAACCTCCAAAACTGGAGGACCTCGGTTCATTTCGTGCAAAGTCGGATTCGACTTTGACCTCGCCTCGACCTCGACCGCAGGCAGGCGCCCAAGGCCTCACGGCGCAGGCCGCACGCACTGGACATCAGCCAGGGTCCGCTGACCAACTCATTTTTTAGTTGGTATGATTTGTCGACCCTCTACTCAAAAAGGGATTGGTATTTACCATGGAAACCCGATCGGTTTTTCACAAAACAATACCTTTAAACACGTCACCCCTTTTTTGGTTGGTTTTGGGTCTTCCCCTACTAAAATAGACGGAAAAAAGTGGGTGCCAACTTATTCTAAGCTGAAAAACTGGAGGACCTAGAAGGGGTGGTGCGATTTTTCATGCCCTTGAGGGGTTTGCCTGAGAACAGTGCCGGTGATTTTCCCACCGGGTCTCAGGGCCGGCTGGTCTCAAAACCCCGTGTTCATGAGGCCATCGTGAAAAAGGCAACATCTCCGGAGCTGCTAGAACTGCACCCCTTCGAACATTCCGCTCGGGGTGTTGTAACATTTTTATTTCAGGGGAACCATGCGTTTTGATCGACAAACCATACTCAAAAAGAGAGTTTTGGGTGTTGTCGGGCTACTCATATGGCAACGCGGAAATGGATTTGATTTGGTGAGACCTCGAAACCCGGAAGACCGCGCTTGCCGGTGTTTTTCGCTTTTGACCCTGAAGCTTTGGGACCCAAAACTTAGTGGGCCCCAGAGACCTATGACCCCGAGCCATTCCTCCGAATGCAACCCATTTCTTGGCGAAGCCAGCCATCCGGTTCGTTCAACTTAGCTTTTTACCTGGAGTCTCCAACTACGGACCCGAAATAAAAATGGTGGGTCAGACTACCCAAAAATAATGGTTGGTCATGGACCCGTTTTTATTTCAGGTCAGAAGGACATGACCCCTTTATTTTGGACAATTTTGGACAATGACCCCATTGTTTGTAAGGGTCGTGGAGACTCCAGGTGTTCATTTTAGTTGGGGGGCTGGAAAAACAGTCCTTTGTTGCCGTACCACCCTTAGGTGCAGATTTCGGATTGGCCTCCGGAGGCATCCGCAACTTTTCACTCCACGCTCCATTTCGCGCAGTCGGATGCCGCAGATTTCGACGCCGGCCACCGCGAAATTTCGCCGCAGTCGGATTCCGCAGGCCGCGAGGCACAGCCTTGGGAAGGCCGGAGAGAGAGAGAGGAATTGGTCGAGAGACCCAGGCAGCACAAGCATACGCCCTTTCTGGTTTCAGGTAGAGGGCATACCTGGAGTCTCCCTCTGACCCGATTTTTAAAAATGGGTCCATGACCAACCATTAATTTGGGTAGGGCCCATGTTTTAAGGGTCATGGAGACTCCAGGTACGCCCTTTCTGGTTTCAGGTGGGCTATGACTCAGGTGGCTATAACCACTGACTAACTTTCCGAATATCCAAGTGAGTCCTTTTCCCTCAGGCAGTTTCAGGTATGGGTTGCAGAGGTATGGAGGACACACATCCACTTATATAAGGGGTAGTGGTGTTATTTTGTTCCGCAACACCTGCAAAACCAATACCTGAAAATGGCCTTGGTCCTTGTTTTGCAGGGAGTCTGCCTCAACAGAGTACCGTTTTTGCCACGACCCAGAGTCTCAGAGAGACCAGGTGCCTCAAACCTGATTCACGAGATCAAGCTTGACCACAAGCTGTCGCCATTAGGGAAAGAACCTCCCGCTCGAATGTGGCCCGGGTGCCAATAGCTCATGATCGCATTGTTCTCTGTCAGCTTATGCTACCAGGAAGTTGGTATAAAGGGAAACCGAAAGGACAACACCATCGTGGTTTCCCTTGAAACCACCATTAGGTTTCGACAGTTTCACTTGGAGCAGAAAGCCACCGAGTAGAGGGACCCCAAATCTGAGGGGGTATTCTTTTGGGGAAGCCCCAAATAGGGTCCCTCAAAGTCGAGGTCCCAGAACTGCTCGCGATGATTTCTGAGCATCGCTTCGAGGTGCATGAGGAGTTTGCTTGGTGCAGAAGCTGGGCCGGTGAGCCTGTGTTGTGCTTGAAGGGTTCGAAACATGCAGCACAGGAAAGGCCGACCAAAATTCCGAGTTTGACCCTTCTGAATCTGATTGAGCGTGCACTTGTGCTCAGTTGGGGGGGTCATACCCATAGAGCCTTTGAGCTACCAGCCACAAGCACTTCATTGAGGTGTCAACCGGCGAAGCAAACTCGCCGGATTCTTTGCGGATGGGTTGCCTTAGATCCGTTTTTTTTCTTTTGGCAACTCTCCTTTGGGTTGTGGCTCCCCTGAAACTTCGGGACCCAGACTTAGCTCCCCCTTTTCGTTTTTTTCTTTCTTTCTTTTTTCTCCTTTTTTTGGGGGTCCCGTTTCTTTGTTTTCCACAGGCAAATATATATACCCCTTACACCTAATACCCACTTTTTTAAGGGTATGATGTCGACCCTCTACTAAAAAAGGAGGTATTTACCTTGGAAAACCGATCGGTTTTCCCAAAAATACCAACTAGAAAACGTGGGTATTTGGAGTAGGGGGTATATATATATATTTCTATATATTTGCTGGGGTCCACTAATTCCAGCCTTGAACAGCGTTCCGGCTTTCAGGCCCAGATGGACTAGGAGCCATTGGTGCAACCTCTCGCCCCCGTTTGGGGGTTTTGGGTAGGGGGCTACAGAAAAACAGGGGACTTTTTTTTTGGGGGGGGGAAATTGGCCTCATCCATATTGGTTGACCAGCAATCGTCCGAATTCAAGCTCACAAAATGGAAGTGGTTGAACACGAAATCGGGGGCCCGTGAGTTTCCTGCGATGCTAGGTCCCCCAGCGAAAGGGTGCCCTTTTACCAATTCTTTTTGGGGGAGGGTTCCCCTACAATAGACTACAGAAAAAAAATAGGGTACCAGCCGATTCTAACCTCCAAAATTGGAGGACCAAGTGGATTGACACTGTTGTGTTTGCCAAGCTGACATCGTGGGCTGCAGCTGAGGAGAGAAGTCATTTTGGGCGGCTAGGAAGGGAGCTTAAAGATGTGATAGCCCATGAAGGATTGTGTTTTTTGCATGTGTTCCGGGACGTAAAGCCTCGCAAATGTAGAGGTACCCTCAGCATGCTACTCAAAAAGGATCTCCCCACTTTGCATGTCTTTGCGTCGCAGGCTTGTACTTGGCAACATGGAAGAACCTTCCGAAGGCGCCATGAAGGTGGATGTCCACTTGCCCAGTGGAGATGGTTGCTCCATAGCAGTTTCACCGAAAAGGCCCATCAGCGAGCTGAAGGATGCAGCGCAGCAGCATTTCCAACGCCGCTTGAAGCTCACTGCAAAAGGCCGGCAGCTTGATTTGAAGGCCACGCTGAGTGAGGCTGGCTTGCGAGATGGAGATGTGGTGGCTGCCGTTGTGCAGCTTGGCAAACTGGCAGCTGCTAGTAAGGCGTTTGCTTGGCATGGCGAGGGGGGCGAGGTTGTGACCTGGGGTACTCCAGAATACGGCGGAGACCGCAGCGAGGTGCAAGAGCACCTAAGGAGCGTCCAGCGCATCCAGGCATCTTACTCCGAAGTCTTTAAACGTGGCGCTTTTGCTGCCATTCTCGAATCTGGGGCCGTTGTGACCTGGGGTCATGCAGGCTGGGGCGGAGAAAGCAGGCAGGTGCAAGAGCAACTGAGGAACGTCCAGCTCATCCAAGCAGCTGAGGGTGCTTTTGCTGCCATTCTCGAATCTGGGGCTGTTGTGACCTGGGGTAATCCAGGAGCTGGCGGAGACAGCAGCCAGGTGCAAGTGAAGCTGAGGAATGTTCAGCACATCCAAGCGACTCGCGCTGCTTTTGCTGCCATTCTTGAATCTGGGGCTGTTGTGACCTGGGGTAATGCAGCACACGGCGGAGACAGCAGCCATGTGCAAGAGCAGCTGAGGAACGTCCAGCAGATCCAAGCAACAAAATATGCTTTTGCTGCCATTCTTGAATCTGGGGCTGTTGTGTCCTGGGGCCATCCAGATTACGGCGGAGACAGCAGCCAGGTGCAAGAGCAGCTTAGGAACGTCCAGCGCATCCAAGCAACAAAGTGTGCTTTTGCTGCCATTCTTGAATCTGGGGCGGTTGTTACCTGGGGTGATCCAGACTATGGTGGAGACAGCAGCCAGGTGCAAGATCGGCTGAGGAACGTCCAGCACATCCAAGCAGCATACTCCGAATCCTTTCAATGTGGTGCTTTTGCTGCCATTCTTGAATCTGGGGCTGTTGTGACCTGGGGTCATCCAGAATACGGAGGAGACAGCAGCCACGTGCAAGAGCAGCTCAAGAACGTCCAACGCATCCAAGCAACTGGGGGTGCTTTTGCTGCCATTCTTGAATCCGGCACTGTTGTCACCTGGGGGAATCCAGGCTTTGGTGGAGACAGCAGCCAGGTGCAACAGCAGCTGAGGAACGTGCGTCGCATCCAAGCAACAAAGTATGCTTTTGCCGCCATTCTTGAATCTGGGGTTGCTGTGACCTGGGGCAATGCAGCATTTGGCGGAGACAGCAGCCAGGTGCAAGAGCAGATGTGGAGGGTCCAACACATCCAAGCAACTGAGCGTTCTTTTGCTGCAATTCTTGCATCTGGGGCTGTTGTGACCTGGGGTCATCCAGAATACGGCGGAGACAGCAGCCAGGTGCGAGAGAAGCTGGGGCTCTTGTAACATGGAGCCATCCTGCACATCTTGGGCTCTAAAAACGTGTATGAGGCAAACCACTTGTGAACTGTTGTCAGTCCGGACCTCCAGTGTAGTGTCCTTTCTTCATTTGTTTCAGGGTGTGTTTCCTTCGAGCTGACCTTGTCCCTTCACACCATCCTCAACAAATGCCGCGCTTGAAACACACACACAAAACATGGCTGGGCTTTGGTGTGACCCAATCGGCCCAACAGGACCTTTTGGTTTTAGAAATTCCTAGGAGCCTCATTACTTGGGTCTGGGGAGTTCAAGGAACTCATATTTGGGGTCCAAGGGGCTTCTAGGGAATGGCTTTTCCATCACAGCAAAAGGTCCAGCGACCTTTTGCTGGTTTGATTCGCTCGGAGACGTGCAACCCAGATCAACACGCCAGCGGGAGATTGGGGGAAATTCGGGTTGCCACTGTGGCAGCGGGCTCCGAGTTCCGAAGTTTTGGGGCCGAGTACCCCAAATCTCTTTTAGTTCAGGGCTCCTTAAAAGATCTCCATTTTGCAACCATTTGAAACACGGCTTTTTCAACACCAAAATACAGGGAAACCACCATCTTCAATGCAATGTTCAGGTGTATAATGTAAGGATCCTTGTTCATCCCGCAAGTTTCTTGGGGTCTCCACATAGGTCCTTTCGATCGCGTTTCTTAGCTTTATTGTTAAGCAACTTTGTGCTCAGCCCGGCAGTCGCCAGCTGGTTGCTTTCCTTTGGGCTGCAAAGCTTTGACTCTAACCCCAAGAGTTTTGGGTGAGATGTGCGCGGTAACAGGTCCAGGATCTTTTCAATCAGCGAATTTCGAAGGACAGATCCAGGCAAAAGCTTCCTTTTGATCCGCTTCTTGAACCCCCAAAAGACCGATCCCTTTTGTTTGGCCTTTGACCCAAAAAAAGCGGTACAAAGCCAGCAAAAAAGGGATGGGTTTTTTTGGGGGGTCCAGGTTGATCCGCTTATCCCAGAGCCAAGCCTTGGGGTCTGCTTGAGGCGTTTCTGCTTTTTTTCTCCGGATGGAAGCCCCCAGATCGCGTTCCCTCGGTTCCGAATCGCAAAACAAAAAGAACAACTTGTCCACTTGAACCGATGATCGACCCATATGGTTCCTTCGAGGCGGAGGGAGCCGCCCAGAGTGGGTTCCTGTTTCAGCGACTGTTAAGCGTCTGCGGAGAACACTTAGTTCAAACACTGATTCGCAGCCGGATGTAGGAATCTGGAGTGAACTCATCTAGGTCCCCCAGTAGTGCCCTTTCTCACCCCTTTCTTGGCTTTTTGGGTTCCCCTACTAAAATAGACTACAGAAGAAAGTTGGCACCCTTATTCTAACCTCCAAAACTGGAGGACCTAGTTAAATAAGTTTGGACTTCCCCAACAGAGTTTGGGTTTTCACCTGGAGTCTCCATGATCCTTTAAAAATGGGTCCATGGCCCCATTATTTTGGGTAATGACCCCATTTTTAAAGCGTCATGGAGACTCCAGGCACGATCTGGGGTGCACTCGAGCCTTGGTTTCGTGCAGCCCGCAGATAAACGCCCTGGAGAGCAGCCTTGCGGCGAAGGCGGGACGGCCGGACGGAGCTGGGGGAGGCTTCGGACCGGAGCATCAGGCCTGAAATACTTCACGGTTCTTGGATCATGTTTTTTTGTTTTTGTTGGTTCTGTTCATTGTTTACTGGGGGTCTGCAAAAAACAGTCAGTTTGTCGCAAGCCCATACCAAGAGTAGAGATGTAACCCTAGCCCCGAATGGACCTCACTTGAATTGATTTGCGGGCCTCACGGCGGTCAAAGGAACCCCCTCATATTTAGACCAGTCCAAGTTGCCCAGTTGCAACCAGTGGAATCATATTTAGGGTCCAAGGATCAGTTGCAACCAGTGGATTCTGCCCTGGGAAGGGTTCCTTTTTTCCTTTACACTCAAGCAATGGAAATCCACTGGGCATCTGAGAAGGGGCTCCTGGGGTAATGTGAGCCATGTATGAAATTGGCACCAGCCACGCAAGGTCCGTCCAAGTCGCTCAGGTAGGGGTGTTGGAGGTGAGGTGAGGCACTAGTTTTCGGGGCTACCTGGAACCCCATTTGGGTATGGGTCAAAATAAAAGAGCTGGGGTTACACAGGTTTTAGGCTTTGGTTCCATTTAGTGCCATTTTGGTACCACTTTTGAGCCACAGCCATGTATTCAGATGGAGACTCCAGGTTCCCTAAGGCTCGAGCCCCAAAGAATTCGTTTCGGGAACACCTTACCTTGGAGGTTCTTTAGAGCCCAACTACCCCACCAGAAACCCCATATGGCCGTTTTATTTTAGGTCATACACCTTTGACTGAAAAAAAACATGGCCATATGATGTTTTCTGTTTTTTTTTCAACGACATGTTGAAATGCAATATGGGTTTCACACGGGTGATTCACGCAAGTGGCCGGAAAACCATGACCATACCGGCAAATCCGGCCAAATACGGGAGTTTGACCGAAACACACATATATATATATATAAATATATATAAAAGATAAACAACAAGAAAGCCATACGGGGTGCCAGGTAGTGTTTTCTTTCGCCATCCGTACCTGCAAAACTACCTGAAAATGCCCTTGATCCGTTTTTTGGTGGATCGGTGTGTTTGCCTCAGAACACTGCCGTTTTCCTTTTTTTCCGCGCGTCTACAAGCCATCGTGAAAAGCACATCTCCGCCTGGAGCCCCAAAAGGCTGTTTTTTTTGGTCAAAAGCCTTTGCCCAAAAAAATGGTCATACGGCCAAATACGTTTTTCTTCGGTTTGTGTTCAATATGTTATCGATAAAATACGGGTTGTATACGCCTGGAGCCCCAAAAGGCTGTTTTTTGTTTGTGTCAAAAGGCTTCGCCAAAAAAACATCGTACGGCCAAATACGTTTTTCTTCGGTTTGTGTTCAATATTTATCGATAAAATACCTGTTTTATACGGCCAAATACGGGCAAATCAGGCAGGCTGAGACTTGGAGCCGTCCGGTTGCCACTTGCGTCGCAAAGTACTGAAGTTGCGACCCAAATCCAGAGGTTTCAACATCCCGGGTTTCCTACAAAGGAAGTACTGAAGGACCCATTTGCGGCTCCCCATTTTCTTCCCCAGAATTAGTTGTTTTTCTTTGCATTTTTGGGGGTTCCCTTTGTACTAAGCAGGCAACAAGTACTTTTGTTTTGGCTGGGTCCCCGTCTTGCGAAGGATTTTGGCCATCCTCAGGCACGGGCCAAAGCCAACGAAAGATTCTCTCGAGTCTGGGTCGCAGACCTTGGTTCCTCCCATAGATCGCAGATGGGCCAACAGACCGCTGAGCTGCACAGACTCGAACGAGAAGCAAAGGATTCCTACCCCTTACACCCAAAATCCACTTTTTTTAGGATATCATGTCGACCCTCCACTAAAAAAGGAGGTATTTACCTTGAAAAACCAGGTTTTCACAAAAATACCCAAAAAAAAGTGGATATTTGGAGTAGGGGGTAACTCTCAGAGGGGCGCAGTGTTTCAACAGGAGAAAAGAGTTGCTTTGGGTTAACACCAATGGTACCATTTTGGTTGGTAGGTGAATTCACCACCCATTTTAGAACCTACTTTTGTGGTTGGATTGGGTCCCGTTCACTGGGGGCTAACCGGGGTTTTGACCCATAGCCAAATGGCTGTTGGGTTCCTCTTCGCTTCTTTCCAAGGGTTTGGCGGGAGATCATGTTCGAACAGGTCCGTTTTTTTTTCTGTCCAGTTCGCTCAGGAAGATCATATGGGTATGGGTCAAAATTGAACCAGCAGGGACCGCAGGTTTTAGTCCTTGGTTCCATTTACCGATCAGGCAACCCAACACCCTCTGTTTTTTAGGGTATGATGTCGACCCTCTACTAAAAAAGGAGGTATTCACCCTGCAAAACCAGGTATTCCTAGGAGATCTGGGCATATTTTCTAATTTTTCCCAGGGGCGAAAACGCAAATGGAAGATTACCACTGTAAATACCTCCTTTTGTAGTAGAGGGTCGACCTCATACCCTCAAAAAAGAGGGTATTTGGAGTAGTGGGTCTGGGCTTGTCTTTTTCTTTGAGTCCCCTCCAGACGCAGGTGGCCTTTCCTGGAAAGGCGCAGGCGCTGGCCTTCCTGGATTCAGGCGATACGGCCTTGGTGGGTGTTCTCTTCTTTTTCGCTCTTTTTGGTGTGCCAGCTATGAGCTATGAGGGGATTATTAGTTTTTTTGAGGGGGGGGGGAGGCCTATGAATCCACAAGGTTTCAGGTGACCATTAGTTGGTGAATTGGATTCGTGATTTGGGATTTGAACCGCTGGTTCTTGTAGAGGGTAAATGCTAGGTCCCCTTCCAGTAGTGCCCTTTCTCACCGTTTCTTTTTTGGGGGAGGAATCCCCTTCTAGAAGAAACTATAGAAGCAAGTTGGTACCCTTATTCTAACCTCTCTACTGGAGGACCTAAGTTTGCTTGTTCGGTAGGGCTGCCAAAACATGTTGTGTCTTGCTACCATGCCAAGGGCGGTAAACGGTTGTTGTTCCAGTAATTTGACCTCTGTTGCGCCTGCCACGAAATCTGTACTTGACCATGCGAAAGTGCACCACCTGCGATCAAATCTACACTTGACCTGGCGAAAGTGCTGCGCGTGACACAAAATTCGCACTCAACCTTTCGAATACCCAGTCGGGTGTTTCGCCCATTTAGGTACCACCGAACCCTCTTAAAATGGGCGATAGCCCCAGACTTATGGTTACTCGGGTAGGTAACCACCTGGAAAGCCGTATGGCCGTTTTTTTTTGGACGGAACCCGTATTTGGATCATTTTTCCCGTATGGCCATTTTTTGCTGGCCGGTGGCCGTATTTGGCCGTATGCAACCCGTATTTTTTCAACAAATTGTTGACAAAAAGCCGTAAATAACCGTATGGTCATTTTTTTGTGGCCCAAGCCGTATGGACAGAAAAAAACGTCACATATGGGTTTCCAGGCAGTCAAACCACCCTTTGAAGGCTAAAAGGACAAGGGCTAGTTATCTACTATTTAGGTAACCGGGATCCACTGGAAAAGGTTTAACCGTTCTTCTTTTTTTGCCGCTACAAACATGAACTCACTTCCTCAGTTCGGCTTCGCACTTGAGTCACTTTGGGGTTGGATCATTTTAGTGGCCAAACCGCTCAGGAGTTGAGTGAAGTTCCAACTTTTGAACACATCTTGCAGGTAACTCGCCGAGGGCGCCAGTGCCTGGACTGGACGATCTGAATGAAAATCCCTTCGGTGAGAGCTTCTAGCCCGGCAACGAGTCATGTTGCACAAGCTCGGGCACAAAGGATGTGTCTACTATCTCACCTGCCCAAAACGAATCGACCGGATGTGACCTTTTAGTTTCCCCTTGTGGGTTTCCATTTTTAGTGGCCCCGCAAGGTGATCGCGTTTTTAGGGTTTGGGTGCAGGGATTGTGAAGGCGCAGACCAAAAACTGGGACTCTTGGATTCAAAGCATGTCAACTGTGCGTGGGACTCTTTTTCCAACAGCACACGTCCATTCGCAGAGGCCCTCCCCCAGTCTGACAAAGAAGCTCCAAAGGGACGCCTTTGGAAGGCGTGGTTCCATCAGCCTTCTGGCAGCTTCCATGTTAGTCTGACAGAGTGTGAGAATATGTTTTGTTGTCCACTGCTGATTTTAAAGGAAGCTGCCACCACTGGAAATTATTTTTTTCCAACCAAACAGAGGGTCCGAATCCCATTTTAAACTTCCATTTTTCGTGATCCAACCAGTTTACGACGCACCCGTGGTTGCCGGCTCTGTATTTGATTGTTTTGAGTTCCGACCTTCTGAAACAAGGCCCCTCACACAGATTGTTGGAACCAACAATTGGGACCCTGTCTGTTTGAGCAACACATGCATGAGGCACAATCAAAATATGAGTAGACAAAGGCTAGTAGGGGGAAGTTCCAGCCAGACATAGGTGCGGCTGCCACATGCGCACCTGACAAATATGTTGCCCCTGACCATTATCAACAGGGGGTCCCTGTTTAGTCGGTGGATTGTGGTGTCCTTCCGAAGGATGCTAAATCAGTCCCAAAGGGTCCAAGTATCTTTTAAGGAAGTACTTAGACCCCTTTTCACCCCCCAGAAGCCATCCTCAAGAGGTACTTGGACCTTTCCTTCCGAAGGAAGTTAAATGGCTGTGGGTCAAAACCGTTTTGGTACCATTTTGGGGTAGGTGCACCACCCATCTTAGTCTATTTAGTGGGGATTGGGATGTTCACTGGGGGTACGATTTGGCTTTTGCCCCATGGCCAAATCAGTAGGAAGCCAGCGAACGGATGCCGAGACACTGTCCAGGGTGTTGGGCATGGGAATCCACTCTGGCCAGGTGACCGCCACAGCATCGCCATCTCATTTCTGGATGTTCGGCCCAGAGGCGCGTTGAACGACGCGTCCTTTGGCACGGTTGCGAGCAAGTAGTTGGGATGTTGGCCCTAGCAAGGAGGTGATACCATGATTGTGCGTAAAATGCAATACACATGTAATTCATGAGTTGTACGTAAAATCGTCTTATTCATGTTATTCAGTACGTATACCGTATACCACAATTCAATACCATGATTGTGCGTATCAAGAGTTTTACCTATAATGCAATAGTCATGTATCCATGGGTGTGTATTTTTCAGGGAACCTCCGTGAAATGGATGGTTTTCTGTTGGTTTCCCCTTAGAACTCCGAAAAGGGTACCCCCCAGACAAAAATGAAGAAACAAAACACGCAAACAACGATACCCATATCATCCTATCCATGTTGTCACCTTTTATAGCCATCGAGGAATCTACCTTCCTACCAAAAAACATCCCACCCCGGCACTGTCAAATCCGGAATACCTACAACCCTCCCAACCTATAATTTGCGGGCGTTTCTTGCTTCAAGGCGTTTGCGGTAGTTTGCGGGCGTTTGCGTCCAAAACATAGTCAATGCCGAATCATAAGTCATTCCTTGCCGATTGAAACTCCAGGTTGGTTGTTGTTATAGTTGCCGTTGTTGTGGTCGTCGTCGTTGATGCTCTTGTTGTGTTATTAGTAGTCCTATATCGTTTATTTCTCCCGCAAAAGCATATGGAGGGGTCAATTTGATTGTTTCTATGTTTCAATTTCTCCCCTTTTCGTTGTTTCTCCCTTCGGATTTCTCCTATTATGCATTCTCCCTTTTGATGGTTTCATGTTTTTCTTCAGGTCGCACAAGCCTCTGGAGGATCTTTGTTCTGTTAGCTGTTCTCCAAAAGGTCCGCGTTTTGGCCCCGCTGCCTCACGGCAATGGCCTGTGGGGAACCCGCCGGTGGAACAACGGCAGAAAGGATGCGGTACAATTTCGAAAGGCAAAAGCAAATACACGCTCCAGCGGTGTGAGGACTTCAGCTCCCTGATTTGCCGGACTTTCGCGCCACTTTTTGAGTTGGACCATTTTTACTTGGTGGTTCCCAGCCATCCGGTGCCTTGGATGTTTAGAGGTTTTTAGTTGGTTCAGTGATAGTTTCCACTAGTGGTCTAACCACCCACCACGTTACGAGCCATCGTCATACGCTAGCAGGGGACCCCGGGTTGCTCCAACTCTGTCACTACCCAAATCTAGGTTTCCCCGTGGACCCCAGTGCGCACGCCTCGCGAAACGAAGCCACGGTCGATTGATTTGGTACATCAGGCAAGTGGTAAGTTACACTGTTTGTAGCTCACTTGCCCAACACATGACAGGAAACATCTTCAACAACACTGCATGTTACTGTATTCAGGAGGCGCAAGTCCATACGGAAGGTAAGCCGACCTTTTGACCTTTGAGTTTTCTCTTGAACAATTCCTTGTCATGGCCCTAAAAGGTTAGCCTCTTCGAATTATTTCTGCATTCCGAAGGGGCAACTGAGATGACACACCAAGAGTGGGCTTACAACTATGGTAGGTAGTAAGGCCCGGCCATTTGAGTTTCAAGTTCCAGACGACTTCAGTCGATTTTTTCAGGTGCGTCTCAAAGGAGGCACCCCCCAAACATTGGGTTTTCCATGTCCCTTTAAACCAAGAGTTTTTGAAAAATGGCACCTCAAAACAACAGACAGATCCATTCAAGATCCAGGACATGGTGGTTTTCCATTTCCCTTCAAACCAAGGCCTCTCATCGCAACAGACCGACCCATTCAGGATTCAGGATGTGGTGGTTGTCCATTTCCCTTCAAATCAAGGCCTCTCATCGCAACACACCGACCCATTCAGGATCCAGGACATTGTGGTTTTCCATTTCCCTTCAAACCAAGGCCTCTCATCACAACAGACCGACCCATTCAGGATTCAGGATGTGGTGGTTGTCCATTTCCCTTCAAACCAAGGCCTCTCATCGCAACACACCGACCCATTCAGGATCCAGGACATTGTGGTTTTCCATTTCCCTTCAAACTAACACCTCAAAGCAACAGACTAGGTCGACCCATTCAGGATCCAGGACGTGGTGGTTTTCCATGTCCCTTCAAACTAACACCTCAAAGCAACAGACTAGGTCCACCCATTCAGGATCCAGGACGTGGTGGTTTTCCATTTCCCTTCAAACCAAGGCCTCTCATCGCAACAGACCGACCCATTCAGGATCCAGGACGTGGTGGTTGTCCATTTCCCTTCAAACTAACACCTCAAAGCAACAGACTAGGTCGACCCATTCAGACGCATGGATGCGGTCGTTTCCCGCAGGCCTCTTGACGCCTCTCAGCTTCGACGAGTCGAACGAAGCGGAGGACAAGGCGGCCCTCGTCGCCAGCAAGGCCACGGACGTGAAGCGTGCAGGGGGAGCGGAAAGCGGGCGGGGCCTAAGGATTCGACTCATCGTGAGAAGACCAACGTTACTAGGGTGCCAACATGCGGATGCTTCTCTCCCAGCAAAGGGTTCTTCCCATGACTGGTCCATGGTGTGGTCGCCCAAGTTCTATGTGTTTTGAATATCACCTGGGTCCCCCAGCAATTGGTGCCCTTTTTACCGTGTCTCTTTTTTGGTTGGGAGGGTTCCCCAAAATAGACGACAGAAAAAAGTTGGTACCCCTATTCTATCCTCTCTACTGGAAGACCTAGCCAACGGAAAATTCCAACGTTATATGGTTTCAAACATGGTTTGACAAAACATATTTGTGGTGCGAACTGGATTTCGAAACCATCCATATGAATCCACCCCAGTTTAGTTGATTTTCGGCCCCCTCCATAAGTGGTCTGATTCCTCACCAAACTCAGAGATACCCCTCTAAGTAGAAACTGGGCTTTACTCTGGGCTCAACATTTGCGGGTTAGGAGCCGGACTCGGAGCCAAGAGGATCCGTAGATTTCCTTGGGAAGAGGGAGCGGTGAACGCAGCTGATCGGAGTTCTGTGGAGACATGGTCGCTTTTGCGGTGGACATGTTGGCCACAAAAGAGAACCTCAGGTCTCCGGTGAAGCTTTCAAAACCCTTGTAGGTGCTAAAAAGGGTGGGATGTCTTTTTTGAGGGTACCCGTTTTGGAGTGGTTTTACAGGAGCCAACACTTCTTCTTTTTTGTTTGGGGGGGGGAGGCTTCAAAAGGGAGTCAAAAGAGCTTGACTGATGATAGGGAAGCTTGAGAAGGGCGATGGTTCCTTTGGCCCTTTAAAGTCACCCTTAAAAGGGTACTTGGGTGTTACTTCCTGACTTGGCGAATCGACCATCCAAGTATCCCCTGCAAAATCCGGCAGAGCTACCGGCGGCAAGGTCCAAGGTCCAGGTGTGGTTGTTTTTTTTTGTTTGGTGTGTCTTCACCCTCAAAAAAACGAAATTTCAACAAACAAAGCAAAAAAGGGATTTCACCAACCATACTTCTTGGTGGCTCCCAGCCATCCGGTTCCTTAGCTTTCTAGCTTTTTCGGTTTTAGTGGTTGGATTTCCATTTCACCCACTAAGAGTTAGTCACTTTTAGCGGGGGATCAGAAAACGGGCAGCCCTGAATTTTGGGTTGCTTGTCTTGTGCGTGTTATTGTGCTTATTTTGCTGTTCTGCTGTTTTTGGATGTTATTTGCGACCACGTGCTTCTCTTTCTTGCGAATTGTGGGTTGCCATCGGCCATTTTCAGGTTGGAGTTTGGAGGGTTCAGCGAGCTTTCAGCGCGCCGTCGGCGGAAGCCGCCACCCTTCAACGGGTACGTTGGTCTTCGATTCGCCTAAGTTCGTCCCCGTAACCACCCAATACCCGGCCTTTTTTGAGTTGGTATCATGTAAACCCGGGCTCTACTAAGAAAGGGATCGGTATTTACCTTGGAAAACCGAAACCGGTTTTCCGAAATGTACCAACTAAAAAAAGTGGGTATTTGGAGTAGGGGGGGTGTTGTTGGTAGGTCATATCCAAGCTTCTACTCTTCCACCAGGGGTCAACTGTTGTAGGTATCCTAGGTCATTTCCAAGCTTGTAACTTCCCCTAAAGAATATATAACTGATGTTGGTATCCTAGCTCATATCCAAGCTTCTAAGTTCCGCTAGGTTGGTGTTCGGCCAAATTAGGTCATTTCCAAGCTTCCAAGTTCCGCTAGGGACTATTTGTTGTTGGTATCCTAGGTCATGTCCAAGCTTCCAATTTCCGCTAGGGACTATTTGTTGTTGGTATCCGAGGTCATGTCCAAGCTTCCAAGTTCCGCTAGGGACTATTTGTTGTTGGTATCCTAGCTCATGTCCAAGCTTCCATGTTCCGATAGGAACTATTTGTTGTTGGTATCCTAGGTCATTTCCAAGCTTCCAAGTTCCGCTAGGGACAATTTGTTGTTGGTATCCTAGGTCATTTCCAAGCTTTCAAGTTCCGCTAGGGACTATTTGTTGTCGGTATCCTAGGTCATTTCCCAGCTTTCAAGTTCCGCTAGGGACTATTTGTTGTTGGTATCCTAGGTCATTTCCAAGCCTCCAAGTTCCGCTAGGGACTATTTGTTGCTGGTATTCTAGGTGATTTTCAATCTTCCGAGTTCCGCTAGTGACTATTTGTTGTTGGTATCCTAGGTCATATCCAAGCTTCCAAGTTCCGCTAGGGACTATGTTTTGTTGGTATCCTAGGTCATTTCCAAGCTTCCAAGTTCCGCTAGGGACTATTTGTGGTTGGTATCCTAGGACATCTCCAAGCTTCCAAGTTCCGCTAGGGACTATGTGTTCTTGGTATCCTAGGTCATTTCCAAGCTTCCAAGTTCCGCTAGGGACTATTTGTTGTTGGTATCCTAGGTCATTTCCAAGCTTCCAAGTTCCGCTAGGGACTATTTGTTGTTGGTATCCTAGGTCATTTCCAAGCTTCCAAGTTCCGCTAGGGACTATTTGTGGTTGGTATCCTAGGACATCTCCAAGCTTCCAAGTTCCGCTAGGGACTATGTGTTCTTGGTATCCTAGGTCATTTCCAAGCTTCCAAGTTCCGCTAGGGACTATGTGTTCTTGGTATCCTAGGTCATTTCCAAGCTTCCAAGTTCCGCTAGGGACTATTTGTTGTTGGTATCCTAGGTCATTTCCAAGCTTCCAAGTTTTGCTAGGGACTATTTGTTGTTGGTATCCTGGGTCATTTCCAAGCTTCCAAGTTCCGCTAGGGACTATGTGTTCTTGGTATCCTAGGTCATTTCCAAGCTTCCAAGTTCCGCTAGGAACTATTTGTTGTTGGTATCCTAGGTCATGTCCAAGCTTCCATGTTCCGATAGGAACTATTTATTGTTGGTATCCTACGTCATTTCCAAGCTTCCAAGTTCCGCTAGGGACTATTTGTTGTTGGTATCCTAGGTCATTTCCAAGCCTCCAAGTTCCGCTAGGGACTATGTTTTGTTGGTATCCTAGGACATCTCCAAGCTTCCAAGTTCCGCTAGGGACTATTTGTTGCTGGTATCCTAGGTCATTTCCAAGCTTCCAACTTCCGCCAGGGACTATTTGTTGCTGGTATTCTAGGTCATGTCCAAGCTTCCAAGTTCCGCTAGGGACTATTTGTTGTTGGTATCCTAGGTCATTTCCAAGCTTCCAAGTTCCGCCAGGGACTATGTGTTCTTGGTATCCTACGTCATTTCCAAGCTTTCAAGTTCCGCCTGGGACTATTTGTTGTTGGTATCCTAGGTCATTTCCAAGCTTCCAAGTTCCGCTGGGGACTATTTTTTGCTGATATCCTAGGTCATTTCCAAGCTTCCGAGTTCCGCTAGGAACTATTTGTTGTTGATATTCTAGGTGGTTTCCAAGCTTCCGAGTTCCGATAGGGACTATTTGATGTTGGTATCCTAGGTCATATCCAAGCTAAGTTCCCGTAGGGGTTAACTGTTGTTGGTATCCTAGGTCATATTCAGCCTAAGTTCCCCTAGGGGTTACTTGTTGTTGTTACTTGTTGGTTACTTAGAATTCTAAGTTCTCACCCTTAAATCTAGAAAACGGTTTGGATGCGCCTTCTGTTAATTTCACCCGTTCTTCCCCCTGTTGGGTCCTTTTTTAGTATTTGTTTCAGTACTCTTTTAATATCCCACAGGGGATCCACAAAAAAACGCCTCGCGGTCAACCCATCTGCGCACCGCGGGACCTTTGATCCTAGGTTGAGCAGGCCGCGGAAGCTGCGGACGAGGCGGAAGTCCAGGTGCGCGCTTCGCCGTCGCCCTCCGCTTCGTCGTGAGGGCGTCGTCGTGTTCGATCTGGGTTTCCTTCACTGCTCTTGGCATGTTTTGTGGTTGTTTAGTTGTTTGGTTCTGCAAAAACAAAGTTTTTTCGCTACCATACCAAGAGTAGAGATGTTTTGGTCTCCCTACATTTCCCCTCTTGCGCCCGTTGGGTGCCTGTTGGAAAATCGAACTGTGCTTGTGAGTGCACAACTGGTCAGCTGAATCTCCCACCCGATCCCGTTTGGTCCATTTGCCATTTGGCCATACATGTGAATTAGGAGCTCTGACATTATGAAGTCATTTGTGCGGGGATGAATGTGGCTGAAGTCTCCTTCTGACCCTGTACAAATGGTGGGTCATTACCCAAATCAATGGTTGGTCATGGACCCATTTTTATTTCGGTCATGGAGAGTCCAGGTCTGTGTTGTATTTTCTTTGAGGAAACCTCTTAGAGACTCCCAACGTGCTTCTTGTTTTTGTTGTTTCTTGTTGTTTTCGTGCCGGTTCCCAGCCGTGCGGTTCCTTAGGCTGTTTGACGTTTTGGGTTTAAAAAGGAGGTGTGGGTTTTTAGCCCACTAAAAAGTTGAAAACTTTCAGCAGGGGATCTGAGGACAGCCCAGTTTCGTTTTTTTTTTTGGGGGTGTGTGTGTGTGTTCCTGGTGGTTTTCCTTGAAGAAGCCTCCCAAAAACAGGTTTCCCGTAAAAGAAGGACCTCACTCCCCGAGTCTCCTTTCGGACTTTAGTCGCTTTTGGGGGTTAGACAAGTTTAGTGGCAAACAACAAGTTAACGCCTGGTAGGTTTTGGCCATCCACTCGGTCGGTGAGAATGTGAACCACAACAACACATCTGGGTTTGTCTTAAACCACGGGGGTCCCCGGGCCATGAATTTCGACTTTTCCCGTTCAACCGCCCCAACAAAGACACCTGCAGTCTCCTGACCCTTTCAAAAAAGGTCAAATCTACCCAAAAGTTGAGTCAGGACTTTTTTTTTGTTTTATCTCAGTTGTCCAAAGCGAATCGACCGGATGTGACCTTTTGGTTTTCCCATGTGGGTATGGCTCAAATTAAAAGAGCCAGGGTTACGCAGATTTGAGCCTTGGTTCCATTTGCCAAGGTGCAGTTTGGTACATGTTTTTGATCCATTGCCATGTTGGTCCACTTTTCGTCAGGCCCCAAAAGGGGTCAGGACTTTCTTTTCTTTTTTTATCTCAGTGGTCCACAGCGAATCGACCGGATGTGACCTTTTGGTTTTCCCATGTGGGTATGGCTCAAATTAAAAGAGCCAGGGTTACGCAGATTTGAGCCTTGGTTCCATTTGCCAAGGTGCAGTTTGGTACATGTTTGTGATCCATTGCCATGTTGGTCCACTTTTCGTCAGGCCCCAAAAGGGGTCAGGACTTTCTTTTCTTTTTTTATCTCAGTGGTCCACAGCGAATCGACCGGATGTGACCTTTTGGTTTTCCCATGTGGGTATGGCTCAAATTAAAAGAGCCAGGGTTACGCAGATTTGAGCCTTGGTTCCATTTGCCAAGGTGCAGTTTGGTACATGTTTTTGATCCATTGCCATGTTGGTCCACTTTTCGTCAGGGCCCCAAAAGGGGTCAGGACTTTTTCTTCTTTTTTTAAATCTCAGTGGTCCAAAGCGAATCGACCGGATGTGACCTTTTGGTTTTCCCATGTGGGTATGGCTCAAATTAAAAGAGCCAGGGTTACGCAGATTTGAGCCTTGGTTCCATTTGCCAAGGTGCAGTTTGGTACATGTTTTTGATCCATTGCCATGTTGGTCCACTTTTCGTCAGGGCCCCAAAAGGGGTCAGGACTTTTTCTTCTTTTTTTTAAATCTCAGTGGTCCAAAGCGAATCGACCGGATGTGACCTTTTGGTTTTCCCATGTGGGTATGGCTCAAATTAAAAGAGCCAGGGTTACGCAGATTTGAGCCTTGGTTCCATTTGCCTCCTGAGTTCATGAACTTTATTTTTTTGGGAAGACCATTTTAGTGGTAATATAAAGTTTGAACTTTTTTTGGGCCATCCACTCAGCAAGTGAGTGTCAGTCAACTGGGGTGTTCGCATCTAAAAGCCATGAATCTCTACTAAACCCAGAGACTCCCATGAATAAACCTCAGTTGTTCAGTGGCACCAATTATTTGTCCCTTTCTTTTCTGATGGCTGCCCACTAAAATGGTCCAAGCCCCAAAAAGGGTTCTTTTTTTTTCCAGGGTCACTGAACAACTGAGGTTCCCCTACTCAAATAGTCGACAGAAGAAGTTGGTACCCTTATTCTAAGCTCTCTACTGGACCTAGTCTGTTTTTCTTTGGCAGAGAGCAGGCAGGGAGAGTTCAGGCGTCAACGGTCAGCTATGACTACCCCCTACTCCAAGTACCCATTTTTTTTAGGGTATTTTTGGGAAAACCGATCGGTTTTCAATGGTAAATACCTCCTTTTTTAGTAGAGGGTCGACATGATACCAACTAAAAAAAGGCCGGGTATTTGGAGTAGGGGGTATGACTATGTGTCAGGCGGAGGCGGCGGAGGAGGCCGAGCTGATCGTGGTTGGCATCGCCACGGTCTTCGCTGGGCCGCTGGCCTCGGAGCGCATGCGGTCGCATCGGGCGGACGAAGGGAAGCGAAGCGACCGGAAGTCTCCGGCTGGATTGGTTGAAGCTGGGAAACGGTTTGGATGCGGTTTTTGTGGATCCACCATTGGATGGCTTAAAAGAGTAGTAGAGTATTAAAAGAGGAACAACTAGCCAAACAACATGGGGAAACCACAGAAAGCGCATCCAATCCGCTTGCTGGAGTTGAAGGTGGGAATATTGAGGGCTTCTTATGTGGGAATATGGGAAAGAACCTAGGGCTTCTTAGCATTTTGAATCTTAGTATTTTGAATGTGGGAGTATGGTGTTGACTCAGTGGTTACTAGATGTCCCTTCAAAAGTTGCAATTTACCACCTGGATCATAACTACCCTCTAAAACGGGAATTCACCAACCACAATTGCGTGGCAAGAGACAAGTTTAAAGGGAATTGTGAGGGTTCAGGTTTTTATACTATATATATATATACACCTATGTTTTGCAAACATGAGTGTGTCTTCTTTGAGAGCACTTTGTTTTTGCGTTGTTGAAGGGGAACCAAAAGAGGAGTACCCTTTTTTTTTAAAGGGGGGGTCCAAATCCTAAACAAAACGACCATGTACATACTTCCAAATTTGCTTAAGAATAGGTTTCTTAATTTCCGTGTTGGTTTTGAAGGGAATCTCTCAAAAACAGTGTATAAATATATATATATATATATACACACCCGAAGGGTCTTAGGGCTTGGTGTGCAGACCCGTGGTTCTCCGTTTCCGGAATTGGTTGTTATGTATGTGGTTTGCATTTGTTCTTACAATTTGATGTAAACCTGGCTATGAAACAACATCTAAAAGCATGTTGCATCTAAAAGACAAACACATGTTTCAGGATCAGTGTGTAGAAACCTTTCCTTATATACAATTTTTAGGACGTTCAGCTATGGTTGAATTGCCCGGGGGGATTCGGCCAATGATTACCAAAAAGTGAGAAACTATGGTCAAGAGGTTGATGCGCTTTGTTTGGGCCTTGGTGAGAAACTAGACCCCTGAGTAGTGCCCTCTTACCCTTTTTTGGGGAAGGGTTCCCCTACTAAAATAGACTACAGAAGAAAAACCAGGTCCCCTTATTCTAACCTCCAAAACTGGAGGACCTGGGACATTGGACTCCAAATTGCTAAGGAATCCGACACTTCTGCCCCGTACGAGCTCTGGAGCCCTGTGAAACCAAACCCGTGAAGTTCGGGTTGGGTCAGTGTGGAAGCCCGGGGTTTTAAAGGGAAGAGCTTCCAAATGTCGCGCCCACTTTTCTACCATCCAATGCTTTGGGCAGACGGAACCTGAGTGCCTGGGTTCAGAGATGTTCCAGGTTCCGAGGAGAATCCATCGGAGTCCGTGGGCAGTGTCCAAACTGGCTGTCCGTTCTCAGATGGCCGTGAAAACCAATGTAGGTGCACCACCCATGTTAGAACCTATTTTGGTTGGGATTGGGTCCCGTTCACTGTGGCTGCGATTTGGATTTTGACCCATGGCCAGATGCCCTGCCGAAGGTTCTCGTTGAACTGGAAACTACCTGGAGTCTGCCTAAGGACCCGAAATAAAAATGGTTGGTCATGACCCCAAAATATTTTCGGTAATGACCAACCATTTTTCAGGGTCAGAAGGAGACTCCAGGTACCACGAAACCAACCAAAAACCACGTACTGCTTAAGGACCGTTCCGGATCGCTGCCAAGCAAAACCACATTTGCAAAGTGTTCCTGGGTCCCCCAGCTAGGTGCCTTTGTGTAAGCCCTTTTTGTTTGGGAGATTCGGTTCTCCGTGTCTAAAATAGACAGAAAAAAGTTGGCACCCTTATTCTAACCTCCAAAACTGGAGAACCTAGTGCTCAATTCTCCAAACCTGGTGGGAACTTGGCTCTTCGATTGGCTCGACGGCATGAGAAGCCATCTTGGGTTTCCTTTTGAGGGGAAACCCCCCCAAAACCGGTTCACCGCTTCATTCTCAAGCCCGGGTAAACCATCCTTCCAACGTGTCCTGTTGAAAGCAACCCCCCAAATTTCACCTCGGAGACTCGGAGAAAGGGATCCCAGGACCGTCCAAGCTGAGGCACCGGCGCCCTCGAAAAAGTCCCTCACATGGTACCCAGAAAGTGCGCTTGAGCTTAGGCCCAGTGCGCAGCTTTACCGCCCCCCGGGGCCCCTAGGCGCCCTCAAGTCTCATAAAATCTGGGTTCCCAGGAAGTCCAAGCACTTCCAGGATGGTCTTTGGAGACAAAAAGGGGTCGTTCAGTACCTTAGGTACTTGGAGCCTTTCGGGTTCTTGGAACCCGAGTTTATGGTTGGTGGATTCGCTTTTTTTAAGCAAGGGTAGTTTTGTGGGTCCAGAACCTCAGGTCCCGAACCATGTAACCCCCTGCAAAACACCCCACAAGGTCGGATACATGTTGGGTACATAGAAGGTAAATACCTGGAGTCTCCATGACCCTTTAAAATTGGGGTCACTACCCAAAATAACGGGGTCGTGGACCCATTTTTAAAGGGTCATGGAGACTCCAGGTAGCAATATTTTGTTCAGTGTGATATCCTTCCCCAGAATTAGCTCCCCTTTTTGTTTTTGTTGTTTTATATATATTTTTGTGGGTGGGTCCCTTTGTTTTCCACTAGCCAGACAAAAATGTTTTTTTGCTGGGATCCTAATTCCAGCCTAGTATTAGGGTAGATGATGGAAATGTCAAGCAAAATCAAACATATGAAATCATCTCAACAAGAGGTTCCAGTAAGAGCGTTTTGGCGGATTTACCAGTGCGGGTGACCCTGGCAGAAAAAGTATTGGAACCCTTCTCGGGATTGGACGCTCATTCTTGGCAGTCAAAATTTGGAACCATTTTCATACTGCAATGTATTTGTTTGTGTTTCGTTTGTTTTTTGTTTTTTTGGCGTGCCACTGAAGAACTAGAATACTTAAAAGCCAAATACTCATAATGGGGGTAATGGACCCTTTGGTGGACATCATTGGGTCAGCATTTAGCCCCTACTCCAAATACCCTCTTTTTTCAAGTGATGTCGACCAAAAAAAGGAGGTACTTACAATGGAAACCCAGGTTTTCCAAAAATACCCTAGAAAAAGGCCGGGTATTTGGAGGTTACGAGGGTATGTCCATCAACCATTCTCGAGAGGGGCGCATCTCGTATTCATCGCCCGCTTCCTCTTCACAACCCTTGGCGTCAAGAATCAGACTTCGTCTTTTTGCAGCTCCCTACCCAAAACTGAACAGAACCAAAACAGTTGTTCATGGTGAACTTGACTCAAAACAACCAAACACAACACTTGAATTGGAAGTACACCCTACGTTTCCTCCAAACAAAAACCGAAACAACTTGTCAAGAATTGTGAAGCTAACCCTAAAGAAACCTTTGACCAAAAAAGCTCTTGCCAAAAACAAGCTCTTTCCCCTACCCCAAGCAAACAGCAACTTGCCAAGAACAGTGAGGTCCTGATTGAATCGGCCAGAAAGAGTCCAAACATTATGGTTGCCACTTAAATCAGGGGTCCCTATATTTCCCTTTTTGGTGGTTTTAAACATCACCTTTTTGGCCCATGAAAGGTGAGTGTCCCTTGTTGGGGGTGATGTTTTAAGGGGAAATATAAGGAGCCCTGTAAATGATCCAACCCCAAAGAGTTTGCCCAAACCACCCTGGATCGAGCGACCCTTTTTTCGGTGCCCGTGGGCGCGTTGCTGTCTTTTTTTTTGCGCCCAGCTTTCTTGGCCGTTCCCATTTGCTGCCTAACTGAGATGAATTGGAAAGCCAGTGGGTTGACGCCGCGCCTTTTCTTCCCCAGAATTAGTCCCCCTTTTGTTTTTCTTTCTTTTTTGGGGGTTTTCTTTGTTTTCCACCAAACATGTGTTTTTTGCTGGGGTCCTCTTCTTCCAGCCAAGTTTTGTGGTTTTAGCCAACAGCGGGCTGAGTTGACGAGGAGATTCACCAGCCGCGGTTCGAGTTCTTGGAGCCCGAAGCATCGTTCCTACGGTGGACCAAATCCATTTCGCACCAAATCAAAACCATATGAGAACGTTTTGCTACCAATTTCGGGTAGACAAAATCCATTTCGCACCAGTTTGAAGCCACGGGAAAGCATTGTTTGTTGGTATTTACGAGGGAATCATACCATTCTAGGGTTTCTCAGGTGGTGCGAAATGGATTGCGTCCATCCACAGTATGTCTCTTCAGCACCCCACAACTCACTCCCTGAGTTGAACTTTACACTTTTTGGGGCTGGACCGTTTTAGTGGTACACAGAAAGTTTGACCTTTTTGGGAAGCCCATCAACTCAGGAAGTGAGACAAGGAAGCTCACTTTCCGTTGGCCTGAAAAAAGCGAGGTTGAACCTCCGCCAAGAGGGAAAGTCGAACCGAACCCCACTCCAACTCCGGGGTTCAAGTCGTCATCAAAAGAATGGCCCAACAAAAACCCAATTTGGAGGATGACAATCCTTAAGCAACGGTGGTGCAGCCGTTGTTAAAATGGCACTTACCTCTTAAAACACACAACTTTTCTCAACTGTTTGGGTAACATGGGCTATATGTCTGTAAAAGATGAAAACTTCCCCAGGGCTTGGAGTTTTAAGGGGTAAGATGGTGATTTGAAGCCCAGGGCCAAGTCAGAAAGGCTCAAGGCTTTGCTCATTCTGCGCAACCAAGGGTGGCTTGGTACACGACCTACGTCACCTGGCAAACCTACCAAAGGCTCGTGCGTTTGGGGTTGCTGTCTTCGGGCTGGCAGAAAGCCCAAAAAAGACAGCGCTCCTTTTGCCGCTAGATGGTCGAACCAGCCTGGAGTCTAAGCTACTTGAAGCGATTGGATACGTCAGGTAGCTGGTTAACCACGCATACAAGTTAGACTTAGTGGACTTACCCTGGCTTGGGTAGTTCTCGTGGTCACCCCCAGTTGCCTGATGTATCCTGTCTCCAGGGGGTGTGTCTCTTTTTAGGGGACCCCACAAGATTGTGTTATGTTCCTTTGGCTTTCCTTTACTAGGATTAAGGGCTACCTCACCAGTTGTTGGCATGCGTTTAGCTAAAGCCCCAGTAGAAACCCAAGCCGTTTCCGAAGTCTGCTTGGGTGTTTGATTCACCAAGTTGGCAAGTTGCAACGGTAACCGTTCGGCTACAACCCACTTAGCAGTCCCCCGTGAATGTGGGGGTAACGACTTGTTATGAGGGGCTTCTACGGGTCCCAAGTGAAGATCACCAGAGGGGGTCTTTTTGCCACCTTTTGTGGACAATTGTTCTACCCCCTCGTAGTGAAGGATTCCTTTTTAAGGGGGGGTCGCCCATTTTCTCACCAAAGGTGACAAACAGACCCCCCTGGAGATGACCACTTACGAACTTTGGCAAACCTAACAGCCAAGCATGCCCTTCAAAATCCGGCAGATGTACTGGCGGCAAGGTCCAGGTCCAGGTGTGGCTGCTTCTGATGTTTGATGGACCCTCAAACCAAAGAAAGGGTATTCACCAACCAAAATGTTGGGTTGCAATAAACAATTCTTAAGTTGGAAGTTTGAGGGTTCAACCCAACAGAAGACACCCACGTCTGCGCCGCGAACCGCTGGCTTTCACCTTTGGCTTCAGGTGAAGAGCCTCAATCACACTGGTTGGTCTTTGTGACCAAATCGCCTCTTAGACCTTTTGAAGTCCAGTGGCCTATCCATTAAGCTCACCACAGCAACCTTCCGAATGTAGCGGTCAGTGTGTTGGTTTCTCAGGTTTGCGTCTAGCAGGATGGAAGCTGCGCTCGGAAGACCCTTCCGAAGGCGCCATGTTGAGTTGATTTCCCTGTAAATACCAACAAACAATGGTTTCAACCATGGATTCAAAGTGGTGCGAAATGGATTTCGTCCATCCACAGTATGAAGGTGGATGTTCACTTGCCCAGTGGAGATGGGTGCCCCATAGAAGTCGCACCGGCGACACTCATCAGCGAGCTGAAGGCTGCAGCGCAGAAGCACTTCCAGCGCCGCTTAAAGCTCACTGCGAAAGGCCACCAGCTCCATTTGGCGGCAACGCTAAGTGAGGCCGGGCTGCGCGAGGGGCACGTGGTGACTGCAGTTGTTCAGCGCGGCAAACTGGCTGCCACAATAAGGGCATTTGCTTGGCATAGCCATGGGGCGAGGTTGTGACCTGGGGTGATCCGGGATATGGCGGAGACAGCAGCCAGGTGCAAGAGCAGCTGAGGGACGTCCAGCACATCGAAGCAACTGCCGAAGCTTTTGCTGCCATTCTTGAATCTGGGGCTAATTCGGCGGAGACAGCAGCCAGGTGCAAGAGCAACTGAGGAATGTCCAGCACATCCAAGCAACTGGCAATGGGTTTGGTGGTGCCTTTGCTGCCATTCTTGAATCTGGGGCTGTTCTGACCTGGGGTGATCCAGACTACGGTGGAGACAGCAGCGAGGTGCAAGAGCAGCTGAGGAACGTCCAGCACATCCAAGTCACTAGTGGTGACTCGTTTGCTGCTTTTGCTGCCATTCTTCAATCTGGGGCTGTTGTGACCTGGGGTCATCCAGAGTGTGGTGGAGACAGCAGCCAGGTGCAAGAGCAGCTCAGGAGCGTCCACTACATCCAAGCAACTGAGCATGCTTTTGCTGCCATTCTTGAATCTGGCGCTGTTGTGACCTGGGGCAATCCAAAATACGGCGGAGACAGCAGTCAGGTGCAAGAGCAGCTGAGGAACGTCCAGCACATCCAAGCCACTAGCGGTTGTTTGAGTGGTTCATTTGCAGCCATTTTAGAATCTGGGGCTGTTGTGACCTGGGGTGATCCAGAAAAAGGCGGAAACAGCAGCCATGTGCAAGAGCAGCTGAGGAATGTCCAGCACATCCAAGCAACTCAGCATGCTTTTGCTGCCATTCTTCAATCTGGGGCTGTTGTGACCTGGGGTCATCCAGAGTGTGGTGGAGACAGCAGCCAGGTGCAAGAGCAGCTCAGGAGCGTCCACTACATCCAAGCAACTGAGCGTGCTTTTGCTGCCATTCTTGAATCTGGGGCTGTTGTGTCCTGGGGTCATCCAGAATTCGGCGGAGACAGCAGCCAGGTGCAACAGCAGCTGAGGAACGTCCAGCGCATCCAAGCAACTGAGTGTGCTTTTGCAGCCATTCTTGAATCTGGGGCTGTTGTTACCTGGGGTGATCCAGACTATGGTGGAGACAGCAGCCAGGTGCAAGAGCAACTGAGGAGTGTCCAGCACATCCAAGCAACTGGGGGTGCTTTTGCAGCCATTCTTGAATCTGGGGCTGTTGTGACCTGGGGTCATCCAGAGTGTGGTGGAGACAGCAGCCAGGTGAAATTGCAGCTTTGCTGGTATCCAGTGATGTTGCAGCATGGACGCCGCAAATCGTGCTGAAAGAAATGAGCAACAGGTGAAGTCCACAGTTTTCAGCATCCGACGCGTTTCTTGGACCCATTTTTGAGGTTTTCGAAAGCAGCGAAGTTCCTTCAACGAGTTGCAGACCACAAAAGACCAACTAATGCTTGTGGTAGCCTTTTGGAAGCCTTCTCGCTGTGGTCTACTCGGATACATCTGGGTGGCTGATTTGTTTGAGGCTTGATACCCTTTTTGGTTCAATCGCGTCAGAACGGGAGATGAGGGTTTCCCAGGGTTGCTGGATTTTTGAGGCTCGGGTAGCTTTTTCACTTGGGTCAGAGGGAAGCCAAGACTAGGTCCCCAGTAGTGCCCCTTCTCACCCTTTTTTGGGGGAGGGTTCCCCTGCAGGTGGCTGAACATGAAGAAGCGCGCGGCGCTGTGTGTGGGAGCCGCGCGCGCTGCAAACGCTGTAAGCTGAGGCGTGGATCCATGCGAACCTGGTTTTCCAGGGAACCACCTTGGGGTACTTAAAGGGAACCCTAGGGAACCACCCTTGACATGCGCAAAGACAACCCGAAAGGACCCTCGCAAACAACAAAACACAGGCAAAACTTTCGAACCCTTGTACTCAAAGGCTAGCCAAGGGCTTGCCACCCGATATAATAAAAAATACTTAGGGAACACAGCGAAGGGTGGCCAACTATGTGGGCTTGCCTGGGCTTGCCACTGGTGAGCGAAACGCCTGCTTCGCGCAACGCGCGTTACGCGCGGGTTGGGAGGTGTGGGGCAAAACTGATCTCCCTGAAAGTCCCTTCTTGCCTCGAGTGGCGATGGTTTCAATGGACCCCACCAGGAAGTTGATCAACTTTGGGGGAAATCTAGGGACCTCATCGTCGATCAGCAGACCCAGCAAGTGTTGTGTTCCTTTGACTTGAGCCAAGCAATAAAGATCCGAACCCTGAGCAGACCATCTGCAGATCTCTCCCAAATCACGCCAGCACAAAAATCCGCCTGAAGCGCGGGCCGCTCGGAGCGTGGGTTTTTCGCTGGTGACAAGCGCAACCCAGCCCTGAGGGGGTGTTCCCTCCAGTGAAGAATCCCACTGAAACGGGACACCCTCCCCGAAATTCAAACCAGGGGTTTTTCTGAATCCAAAGCTACAATTCTATCTCAAAGTTTAAGGAGTTTTGGTTTCTTGTTGGTTTAGCTTGGAACCGTAGAGTGAATAGCCTCAACAACGTTGAACCCCCACCTGAGCGGCGTTTTTTTTAGCCGCAAGCTAATTTAGTGGGGAGAGGGACATTATTATTGAAAATGTGCGCCGCGCCACACGCGCGGAAGCATGCGGAAGGCGCACGGAAGGGATTTGTTCGCGGAAGGTTTGCGGAAGCTTTGTGGCTGATATGCAACTAAATGTTTCTGTGCGTGCATGGAAAAGCTCGGAGAAACGATTCCAGCAGAAGAAAAGGTGTTGCTGCGTACAAGAAACGCAACGCTTACTCGAAGAGCAGATGCGAACAGCAAGCCAAGAAGGCGAAAACAGCCGGCGTATTTCGCGGAAGGTTTGCGGAAGCTTCGCGGAAGCTCCGCGGAAGGGTGGCCCCGTGTTTGCAGGCAAGTGGCCACGTAGCATGGGTAGCCCAATGGAGCCCAAGCCTACACAAGCTGCGGCGGAACACTACCTCACTTAAAAAGACTTTCCTTTCTGCGCCAATGCTTGCGGAAGCAAATCTTGTAAACCATGTTCCGCGGCAGGTTTGCGGAAGCAAACAATGAAACACATGTGCCGCGGAAGTTCGCGGCCCGCGGCAAGGATGCGGAAGGGTCCGCGGAAGCTTGAATAATGTCCAAGTAGTTTGTAGGGAATAAACGCCAACGCTCACCTGTTCTAGGGATCGGAAAGATAAAGATTCGCGAGTCACCTCTTTCGATGACCAGCTCCTTCACAGCTAGAAAGTGATCGCCGCTTGGGGTAAGGCACCCCCTTAAAGCAAGTTGTTACCCCCCACATTCACGGACTTTCTGAGTGAGTCAGATCCGAACGGTTTCGCCGTTTCATAGCATCAGGTGTCCCTCAGTTGCTTAATGGGAAACCCCTCGTTGACCACCAAACCGCCAATCCAAACCACCGATTAGGAGCCAAAACATGGCTGGTCTTTGGTGTGACTCATCTAGGGGTACCTTTTATTTCCGGTTTTTGAAAAGAACGATGGTTGCAAAGAATGGGGAATCAAACCCTTGACTTAATCGCCCAAAAGGACAGACCTTTTGGAAACAAATTGCCTTTCCATCAAGCCTACAAAAGGTGGTTGACCTTTGCTCACGCGGGTTTGGAGCAAGCCGCGGAGGTTAAGTAACACTGACCACAAAGGTTCAGTGAACTGAGGTACACCACGTAGCTAAGGGCCACATAGCTTCTAGCATTTAGCTACCACCTGGATCATGGGGTTGTGGGGGTACTTGACACTGCGTATCAACACATGACCGAGTTTGTAGACTACCATTTGTTTTGGCAGAAATCATGACCCAACTTGGTTTTCAAGTACCCCACCTCATGCTAATTGTTTGGGCCCTCATGGATAGCGAATACTGCCAGGCCAACACATCATGCACGAGTTGCAATGAGCTTACCTAGCCGGGGACAAAGCGAGTTCAGCCATGAAGAAATGTTGCTTACTTTGCGGGTCCCGATGTTCTTGCTTGTGAGTCATAGTGCTTTGCTCTGGTAATGCTGTCGAAACATAAGGAGCTACCTGGAGCCTCCATGACCGTTTAAAAACCAGTCCATGACCCTATTATTTGGGGTAATGACCCCATTTTTAAAGGGTCATGGAGACTCCAGGTACTGTCATCCGGCATGTTTGCTCCACTTGGGCGTCTTTGAAAATGAGGATCCCGGAAAAAAATCTCTGGATTTCCGTGTGGCTTCCATTTAAAAGCCACAACTGGACCCCCAAAAGACCCCTTTTTTCTGGCGTTGTACCGCTTTTTTCTGGGTCAAAGGCAATAAAAAGGAATCGGTCTTTTTGGGGGTCCAGGAAAGAAGCGGCACCCTCAACAAAAAGACACCCACATGGATGTTCGACCACTTGGTAAGTGTAGCTTCTGTGGCTACGTGAAGCTTCCAAGCACGTCCCTTGGACGACTGGTTTGAAGGGGTCAAAGGCTGAACCTGAGCTCAGAGTCAGCTAACCCTTTAGTGGGTGGGTTTGCTTCACTTGTGTTCCATTTGTTTGTTCTGTTCATTTTCAGTAGGGGACTGCAAATAGCAACGTTTATTGCTACCACACCGAGCGTTGGAAAGGCTTGGATTGGTGGCTTGGATTAGGATTTGAACTTTGTAGAAGCATGGGAAGCGAACACCTAAGCACCATTCCAAGCCAAATGGAGCTGACAGTGGTAGGGCGAAATGCATCAAGTGCCAGCCAGAACTTTGGTGTGAGAGGAATCGCGTGGCTAGCTTTGCCCATGGCATCCCAATGCATCCCGTGAGACTTGTTTGGTGGATGCCTCAGTTGTTAGGGCCTTCACTTCACGCGCCAACTTTTTCTACGCACGCAACTTATATACCCATTGCTTCCCAAGAAGCCACTCTAGGCCAAATATGTTTGCCTCCAAGTTTTACATTCTGTGGAAGCTTCTGGGCAAGCCTACTGTAGTGGCTTGCCTGAAAGTGTGCGGATTTCTTTAGCCATTTGAACACGATTCCTCGACCACCTCGAACTTTGCTTGACTAGGTGAAAAAGGCACGTGCCAAAAAGCACAGCGCGTCGCTGCCCTTTTGCGCCCCTGGTGGGAGCCCCTTTTAGCTGGCTTTGAAAGGAACACCAACAGGAAACTCGCAATTTTCGGGGCATCGAAGCAAACACGCAGTGGCAGAGATTACAAGGCCCGAAGCCGACCTTTTACCTTTCAGTTTTCCCTGGTTGGGTGCCCATTTTTGTTTTTTGTCACGCGCTCGTTAAAGGTGATCGCCTAACAAAATTTCGGGATCTCTATGGGCGCCCGAGGGTACCCTTTAGGCGGTTGGTTGGTTCACAGAGCCCAGAAGAAACCCGCGAGGGCTCCATCCCAAAAATATATAACGCGAATTAGGCCTCCATTGCGCACTTTAGCGAATCCACATCAATCCTTTCAGGTCTTGCTTAATAATATTATGTTATTTTCCCTTGATATTCAGGGCTCCTAAAAGATACATGTTGCAACCATTTGAAACATGGCTTTTCCACCAAAATTAATGGGAAACCACCATTTACAAGGCAATGTTCTAGTTTATTATGTAAGCATCCCTTGACATTGTTTTTGTTTTCGGCCAGTCCACTCGATCGGAAGTGGAGGTCCGAACCCCGTGCCGTTTGCATCCCCACGTTTCCAGGCTTTTGGGACCCCTCGATTCGGGAGTTCGTTGCTTTGGGCCTTTCATGTGTTTGGAGGGAGGAATTCTTGCCCAAAAAAACCATAGGAGTCCAAGACCGCATGAAATTGGATCAAGGAACCCCCTCATACCCCCTACTCCAAATACCCACTTTTTGTTGGGTATGATGTCGAGCCTCCACTAAGAAAGGAGGTATGTGCAATGGAAACCCAGGTTTTTCAAAAAAATGCCCTGAAACACGTGGTTATTTGGAGGGGGTATGTAGGGTCCCTTTGGGCCTCCTAGGGCAATTTGAATCTGAATCTTCCAAATGCAAATGTAACGCAAAATCCGGAGACGTTCGTACGTTGTTTATCGGTAGCCTAGGTTATAACCCATGCACTTGTTGGTTGCTTGTTCAACCTTGTTATATGGGGGTGATACCCCAAATGGCTAGCCACTTTTTGGCCGAACATCCAAGTACTGGAGTCTCCATGACCCTTTAAAAGATGGGGTCATGACCCCCTTATTGTGGGTAATGACCCCATCATTGAAGGGTCTCAGATCCAGGAACTACCCGGAGTCTCCTTCCCTAAAAACTGAAGCTGGACCCTCAAACTACCTGGACCCCAAAGGACCGATTCTTTTTTCTTTTCTTTTTTTCTGCCCTTGTACCACTTGTTTATGGGTGACATGGAGAAAAAAAGGAATCGGTCCATTGGGGGTCCAGGTACTGATTTTTTGAGGGTCCGGGAAGTCGGTCAAAAATTATTTGGGTCATGACTCCTTTTGAGAAGGGTCAGAAGGAGACTCTTTTTGGGTACCCAAAGAAAGAGCGCCCAGCTGGGGGGTTGGGGGTGTTGAGGCGAACTTGCCCCGCAAAGACCCGAAGTTCCGCTTGCGATAGTCAGGGAAACCAACTAGCAGGGAGACAGGGGAAACCAGGGATACCGGAGGATTCCCCCAATTGATGCACCTTGACTAAGTTTGATGTGGGAAATGGCGTCAAGTTGGAATCCTTTAATATCCCCGCTCCCTCCGTATCCCCGCTTGTTCGTTTGTCCAAGATAGGAGGAGTCTGGGGCTCTGCAGAAGCTGCTGGCGGCGTCTTTGATGGACACTGCAGCGGAGGAGTCGCTTTCCTTCGCCTTGGCGTGGGAAGGAAACACTTTTCTTCCATTTGCTTAAGAATATGTTTGCTATTTTCCCCAGTTCGGCTTAAAAGGAAAGTATCACTACTGGACATATTTGTTATTTGTTCCCGGGGTCTTAACCAAATGGACGTTTTGGTTCAAGAGGTGCGCTCCAAGCCTTTCAAACATGGCCCTGGCCAATCCCTTTTTTGGAGAAAATGGGCAAAGGATTTCCTTTAGTACTCACCATAATGTTGGACCCTTTTAGGTGGTATCCAGCCGTTCGTCTTTCTCGGAGCCCTTGAGGGGATGCGTCGGTGTGTTCCTCTTCTTCTTCTTTTTCGCGAGCCACTTCCCGAGGATTCCGAAGGCCGATTCCCAATGAAGGTTGCCTTGCGAAGCCCAGTCAGGATGATGACTTAAGCCTTTAGGTAAACAAGCCAAGCATTGACCTTTTTGTCCCGGATGACCTAATTAGAATGATGCCGAATACCTGGAGTCTCCATGACCCTTAAAAAATGGGGTCAGTACCCAAAAAGGGTCATGGACCCATTTTTATTTCGGGTCATGGAGACTCGGTCCCCGGAAGCGAGCCCAGGCCTCCACCCGGTTTCTCTCTTTCTTTGGGGATGGGGTAGGCAGACCAAGGAAAAAAAGGCCATGGAAGGGACTACCCCCACCTCCAAATTCAAGTACCAGTGTTCTTTTCAGTTGGTATCACTAAGTATCATTTGTTAACTCTCTTAGATGGATTGGGTACCTACCACGGAAAACCGCTCGGTGTTTCAATCAACACCCTTAAAAAAGCGGGTATGTGGAGCAGGGGGCAGATGTGCCATGGTCACAAGACAGGATTCCTTGGGGGCGTTGGGATGATCCAGGTGGCAAGGATCCTCCGCTTGCTTTCCCTTCAAACCAACCTCGCCTTATCGGTCCCTCCCCCAAAAAAACGGGAAAAATATGTCTAGCCTTTCACTGGGGTTGACCCTGAAACGTTATGGTGCTTTTCCCCCACTCTTCAGCAATCATGCAAGTGTGTTCAAGCCAAAAGGCCGAGTCGAATTTGTTTTTCTTTGGTTTGAAACAAAAACCCAACAGGGGGCTCCAGCTCGAAGAAGACGAGGCAGCCACAGTTGTCCTTTGGTAGTTTCGAGCATCACCTGTTTAAACCGGTTCAAAGAGAAGCACACCATGGTGGGATTCCCCCAAAAGCCAGATTGCGTCCTGTAGTTGCTTGCATGTTGGTAGCGTTGTGGTATTATTATCATCATCAGTATAATCATAGTATTACTATGTACTTATGTTTTATTAATGTATGTATGTATTTATTTTTATGTTTTTTTTATTTATGCATTTATTTATTGTTTATTTATTTATTTATTCATTTATTAGTTTATGTATTTATATTCCTACTTATTTATGTGGTTATGTATGTCATGATTTGTTTATTTGCTTATTTATGTATTTGCTGATTTATGTATGTTTGGTTATTAATTATTATTGTGCTTATGTTTATGTCTATGTGAATTATGTTTTATGTGTACTATCGCTTTTTATGTTTGTCAGTATGTGTGTATTTTTCTATTGCTTTTAGTATTCTTAGTATTGTGATTATTCTTACTGTTGTTACCATTATTGTAATTGCGATCACAATTTTACATTCACGCGCAGTGCATAAAGTATATGCATTCATGTATTTCACTACATACAAGTATGGTCCGGCAGAGCCGGGGGGCGGAAGTTTCAAAAAATATATAAAAACAACTATAGTTGTGTGTATCTTTCTTTTCTTGACTCTTTTTCTCTTCTTCTTCCTTTTCATTGTTTCTTTTTTCTCCGTCATTCTTCCTTTCTTCCTTTCTTTCCTTTCTTCCTCCCTTCTTTCCTTCTATGTGTCTTTTCTTTCTTTCCTTTGTGTGCTTGTGTTTGGCTGTTCTTTCTTTTGTCTCTTCTTTGTCTATCTATCTATTTGTCTATCTATCTATCTATCTTTTTCAACCTATCTATCTACCTAACTACCTATCTAGAACTCTCTCGTGTTATTTATCTATCTGCTTATCTATCTATCTATTGCTCTCTCTATCTTATCTATCTATCTATCTATATATCTACCTATCTCTCTATCTCTCTATCTATGCATCTCTCTAACTATCCGTCTATCTCTATCTCTATCTATCTGTCTATTTATCTATCTATCTATCTGTCTATCTATCTATCT